ATCCTTCGTTTTAAAAAAAGATCCAGTATTACTTTCATAATGGACAACCTATATTTCGCCTTTTGCGTACTTACGTGCGTGCGAGCGTGTATAATAAAAATGAATGTGATCTTTGTTTATATTGTTCTCCAAAATAAGTGTTTTTATTATTATTATTGACAGATAGGCAACAAAGGCAACAGGCAACAAATCCGCCGACTTTTTTATGTGGTGAGGTACAGGCCAGTTAATATTGAAATAACTGAGAATTATCATTTAACATTTCTTCAGTATGCCTATTTGAATAAACACCATAGAGTATTAACGAGTTATCTTTCTGTTATTGAAGAAATGGTTAAAGTTGAATATGGTTGATACAATTGAATATTCAATATCCTTTCGTCGGTTATTATCGGACTTATATACGGTGAAGCCTAAAACTAATAGTGTGACACTCACCATGCTAGCTGTTACGATGAGGGTTGTAGGTTCGAATCATGATGGAACTTTTCTTTCCATTTAGCATATTACCACTTTTTGTGTTACTTGAAACTTTTTTTTTGGTTACATGCCAATCACAGTGTAGTTTAATTTAACCATATTTATTTTAATTTATACAACATCAATATATACAGTAAGCATATTCAATCACACTGATAGATTTCGTGAATTGGAAAACAAGTTAAATGTGACTTATGTAAATTCTTTTCCACACATATGGTACTTGCAATAAAATGATATGTACATATTTGGTTAGAATAATACAGAAAAAGCAAATCAGATAAATAATTAAATTGAATGAAGAACACCATTGTCTAGAGTAGTAGAATAAGAAAAATTACAGTTTCATTGTATGACTTAACATATTGAAATTATTGACAGATTATATATTTATCAAGGATATGAACTTTAGAAAATTATATATGCTAGAAATTTAAAAATGATTTATCTACTAAACATGCTGCATATAATTTAAAAAAAAGAAAAGAAATACTTTGCTAATGAAATTTTGAAAAGTGTTATTTAGGGATTCGAACTCTGTTGCACTAACCACTAAGCCATTGGGTCGTAAATATGGATTTCAGTTTCAAGAACTATACTATCATTTCAATCCAATGTTTAAATTATAACTTTATACGGAAAGTAACGAAAACTCTACCCAAAATAAATCAGTCGTCAAACAATAAATAAGGTACAGTAATTGAAAATAGAAGGTGTTTCTTATGGCAAGACATTGAGCACATTTATTTCTATTGGCTCGCAAGACATAATACAATGATTTCGTTTATCGACTGTGGACACTTCTTGCAAAAAAAAAAAACATGGTATAAGATACTTTGATTGCCAATGATAATTATCATGTAAAGAACATTAACCAGACGTTTTAGAATTTGACATTTGAATTGCCATGTTTTGCAAGAGAAAACATTTATCAAGTTTTGAAAGAAAGAAAAACAACAAATAAACATTTTGCAGTGTTGGTGCCGACCTCCTCAAACAGTCTGAACCGATCCCAGCGGAACTTCACGACTACCGCGCTACTGAATATCTGGAATATAGCCTACGTATTAAATCTGATAGCGGGTTCTTGAAAACTAACAACAAGTCATTTGTATAAAAATGCATGTTTTTTACATGTTCAGCCTAGCAGCCTGAAGTTGGCAGCCTGGTAGCCTAACAGCCTAAAGAAAACTAAGGATAGTACAAACATGAAAACCGTCGGTAATACATCAATAGCACTTCCTTAGATTATTCTACGACTTTTTTAAATATCGTGACCTTTATTTTTTAAGATGTTGAACTTTATCTTAACATGTTTTTTCATTCTGACGCTTCAAAATTTGTGACAGTAACAGCCTTGCAGCCTAAAGAAAACTTAGTATAGTACAAACATGAAAACCGTCGGAAATGAATCGGTAGCACATATTTAGACCATTCCACGTCTTATTTCAATATCGCAATCTTTATTTAAAAAAAGAACTTTTTTTTCATTCTGGCGCTTCGAAATTTGTGAAGTTAGCAGCCTAGCAGCCTGGCAGCCTAGCAGCCCCAAGAAAACTAAGGATAGTACAAACATGAAAACCGTTGGAAATGAATCGGTAGCACATACTAAAATTAGACAATTCCACGTCTTATTTCAGTATCGCGATTTTTATTTTATAAAGTATTGAACTTCATTTTTTTTTTCATTTTACAAACTTATATATAATTATCCATAACTCTCTTTTTGTATTTTCTGATCGCAGATCAGTAAATACAATGCTGACATTCAATCTCTGGCACAGAGATTTCACGACAAACCTTACAACAAGAAGTTCTCAAAACAGCTTAAAGCTAGCGATTTAAAAGAAAGAAATATTTTTATTTTCTTAGAAGTATCCAACAAATTACAACGCGTTCAAAGTTAAAACGTAGCGTTGGCTTATAGAATTGTCGATAAATGCACAATCACAAATTATGCGGATGAATATCATTTAAATCAATGAAAATGCTATTTTTAGCGATGTCGATTATCGAATACTTTAGAGCGTAGTACACAAGTAAATCTGACTGTCGAGTAGTGGAATATATAGATGTCGGATTGTTTTGGCAAGAAGATTTTCGCTAAATCATTAACATCAGTGTTAAACAACAGGTTTATCGTGAACAAAATACCTCGAAATTAATAAGGATTACAAACCCAAAATGGAAATTCTAAATTTAGAATTATCTGATTTTATTCAAGCTCTCTTCATATAACTTCCCCTGGTACAGGGGTTACGCGCTCGATTAGGGTGTGAGAGGTCTGGAGTTCATTTCCCAGTTGAGGCAACTATCTTTTAAGTGTCTTTTTAAGGAAGTAGCCACGAAATGCAAGGATAAAGTGTGGCTGTCATAAGAAAATGAACATAAATGATTTTTTGATGCAACACTAGTCATGCAAAAATTCCGCATGTATCAAACTCAAATTGTTATAGTAAAAAATCTAAATGGAGTCGCTGCATCTCGGTTCCCTGTAAGATGAATTATAGTATATGAAAATAAACTTATACAGGAAAATACATACGATATACAGTACGATTTAGATTGCAAAGGTCAGAAAATACGACAGAGCTTGCAGTCCTTTGATTTTCTACTGATCTTTACCCCTCATTATATTCTTAATGTTGATTAAAAAAAATAAGTGCACATAGAGCTCGAAAGACATTTCGCCATCAAAGTATGATTTCGATATGGACGAAAACGAAGGCATTACATCAGATAAAGTTTAAACCCCTTCATAACAGATGCATTAAAATTTTAAATATAAGAATCACAAACGTACATTTCATCGTCAGTAATCCTGTAAAGTCTTTCTATTGTAAAACATTTCCAAACATTTCACTATTTTTATATTCTTCATCTTCTAAATGATGATAGGCTGCTAAGCTTGATATTATTAAAAGGTTTGTAATGGTCTAAATAGGTGTCACTGTCTCACTGGTGCATGTCCAAACGTTTTCATGTCTGTAGTATTCTTAGTTTGCTTTACGCTGCTAGGCTGCTAACTTCCACAAATTTCGAAGCGCCAAAATGAAAAAAAAATCAATATTTTAAAAAAATAAAGATCGCGATACTGAAATTTGACGTGGAATGGTCTAAGTATGTACTACCGATTCATTTCCGGCGGTTTTCAAGTTTGTATTTTCCTTAGTTATCTTAAAGCTGTTAGGCTGCTAGACTGTGAAGTATGTGCTACCGATTCATTTCCGGCGGTTTTCATGTTTGTACTGTCCTTAATTTTCTTTAGGCTGTTAGGCTGCCAGGCTGTTAGGCGACTAACTTCACAAATTCTAAAGCGTCAGAATAAACAAAATATGTTAAAATAAAGTTTAACATCTTAAAAAATAAAGATCACAATATTGAAAAAAGGCTAAGAATAATCTAAGGAAGTGCTACTGATGTATTTCCGACCGTTTTCATGTTTGCACTATCCTTAGTTTCTTTAGGCTGCTAGGCTGCCAACTTCAGGTTGCTAGGCTGCCAGGCTGCTAGGCTGCCAGACTGCTAGGCTGCTAACTTCACAAATTTCGAAGCGTCAAAATGAAAAAAAAAATAAAGTTCAATATTTTAAAAAATAAAGATCGGGATACTGAAATAAGACGTGGAATGCTCTAAGTATTTGCTCACGATTCATTTCCGACGGTTTTCAAGTTTGTACTATCCTTAGTTTTCTTTAGGCTGCTCGGATACCAGGCTGCTAGACTGCTAACTTCACAAATTTCGAAGCGCCAGAGTTCTTTTTTTTTAAAAAAAAGATCGCGACATTGAAATAAGACATGGAATGGTCTAAGTATGTGTTACCGATTCATTTCATTTGTACTATCCTTAGTTTTCTTTAGGCTGCTAGGCTGCCAACTTCAGGCTGTTAGGCTGCCAACTTCAGGCTGTTAGGCTGCCAACTTCAGGCTGTTAGGCTGCCAACTTCACGAACATGTTTTTACCAGGGAACTACATAAGTCAACGTCAAGATACTATTAAAGTCCTTACAACGGTGTTCCCAAATGATTGACATTACTTACTCTGGGATTTTTGTAAGTAGATAAAAAAAAATAGACAAAGCGCAATGACCATATTTGCGTAATTGTTTAAAAAATCAAAATAAGTTGATTTGACTTGTGAAACAACCTCTGTGTGTATATTTTTCAGTGCAAGACATCATGATATTGAAAGATTAAAATTGATATTTCTTTATCAATACAACTGGTTTGTGTTTTGTTTGTTTTTTATTTGTTGTTGTTTTTTGTGTTTGTTTGTTGTTGTTATTGTTAAATATTTTGTTGTCGTCGATGTTTATTTTTCTCAATACAGAAACATAAAATGCAATATTTTACATAATCAGACTGTACAGGTATTTTATCTTAGATGTCATTGCGATTGCTTTAGCATAATTTACCTACAGTTCAACTAATGTTGTTAAATATATATAAAAAAACACTGTAATTAAATATCTCAAGGCAAATAACACATAATAGTATACAGAAAATGACAAGCAATGTCAACTTCCGTGTTTTATGTATGTCCAGTTGAGGTCATGTGCTTTCGTTGAATCGGACGGGTCATAATACATCAAAATAAAATTTGTAAGTAAATCTTAATATAAATTCAAATTTGAATTGATTTCATTTTTTGATTTTTTTAAAGTTTTCACAAAGCACTGTCTAGATAAATGTTTCACATTGTGTCGGTTAATAAATCATAAAATAGTAGGATTAAATATCTTCAACATGCCTAAGGATAAAATATTAATATTTAATACTTTCGAATCTGATATATTAAATTCATTGATCATATACCGCACTAATCATAATTCGCCAGATATTATACATGTATTTCTATATATTTTTTTAAATTTTAAATTAGCAATACAATTAAAGAAATGTAGTATCATTCTTAATGAATATTCCATGGTATATATATATTGTTTCAGAGGAAAAAATGAATACCGGATTAAGGACGGTGATGATGGCTTTTCTTGTGATATCTCTACTGACCAGCCAGGTCCATAGCAGAAAGCTAGGTATGTTATCTTTTACTGTACTAGCACTGAAGAAGGGATCACAAAACGAAACTAAAAATGATAAATGGCATTATGGTGGAGCAGCATCAACCTAAAAAGCGAATGGTGGATAAATGTCTGAACATTCGGCTGAAAGTAGTAACAGCCTAGAATAAATGTTGGATAGATAGCTAAACATTGGCCTTCATTCGACAGTGAGCAGTATCGGTCTAGAATGAATGTTTAATGAAGAACTAGATATTGGCCTTCATTCGACAGACAAAATTATCAGCCTGGTATGAATATTTGTTAGATACCTAAATAAAGGCCTTCATTCGACATATAACAGAATCAGATTAGAATGAATGTTGGATAGATAGCTAAACATTGACCTTCATTCGACAGTGAGCAATATCGGTCTAGAATGAATGTTTGAAAGATAACTAATTATTTGTCTTCATTCTACAGACAACAGTTTTAGCCTAGAATGAAAGTTGGATAGATAACTAAATATTGGCCTTCATTCGACAAGGAGCAGTATCAACCTAGAAGAAATGCTTGATAGATAGCTAAGCTAGATCCGCCTAGAATGATACATTTACGTTAATAGTGGACTTTATTCGTCTGAGAGCAATATAAGCCAAGGATGAATGCTGGATTAATAGCTAATTATTGTAAATGTGCAATCAGAGTAAAGAGCAAAATTGCCGACTTCATCATTTATCCTTTATTGCATATAGGGCTTAACTGATATTAATGTTTGTAATACTCATTATAACGAATAGTCTCAATACCATTTGTTTTAAAATCTCGTTTTAACTTACGAGAAAATGGTTCGACTGAATTTTAAGTGAAAAATTTTTTTTTTCGTAATGAATACTTATTTTTTAATATACCAGAATTTACATTTCATTTAGTTTTAATAAAATCTATTTATCTAATTATATTTTCAGCTCTTCCACTAGGGTCCGGTTTCATTATTTCAAAGCTGATTCAAAGTACACCGGAATTCCGTCGTGGTACAGAGGCCGGCGAGACCTTCAATGTCCTGAAGTGGTGTTGGTTTGGCTACAGAGCGGCAAAATTTCTCTCATAACAGCCATGGTTGTCGGTACCGGTTCCGAGGTCCGAATAATCGCAGTCGACTATTTATCACTCACAGACTTCTGTGATTATTTGTGTTACTGTGCTGCCATGTTATTAGCCTGTTAGTCCGTGTTAGTCCATTACAACAAAATAAACGTTACCTCATAAAGAACTATTTGTTATCTATTCTCAATCAAATATTGCTATTAAGAATTCTAACTGATATACGGTCTCGTTTTTCATCAGGGTTTTTTTTCCCGATGTACTATTTTAATATTATTCAAATAATTTAAACGAAGCACCCATCCCCGTACCCTATAAAAAGGTCATCGGGAGATTTGAAAAGCTCGATTGACAGAATGAGATTTGTATACATTTACATTTACACATAGATAGAGTAGACCCTGTCAAACTATCATCTTCACAGCGAGACAGTTAAGCCTATCTTTTATTCCGGCGAACCAGCTGTAGACGTCCTGACTGTAACCGAGGTTTGTAGCCCTAAAAAGTTAGTAGGGCACGGGGAATGGTACTAGAGTGCTTGAGCGCCTAGTACGCGGTGACGTCTAGGAAGGCCGGCGCTTTGCTTCTTATTATTGTTATGTGTTACAATATGTTAACATGGTGAGGTGCCTGTGGATTGCTATACATTGATCTACTTCCGGTTCAAAATTTATATCTTTGGCCAGGGTCTTTCAAATACTAGGGAGATTGCAAGGAGGTAATTATCACCAATTTGTGCTTCGAAATTTAGCCTGTGTTGAGTATAAAGCTAAATCTAATGAGATATCTTAACCCTTTCCCCCATGAGCATATTGTGAAAAATGGCCATTTTCACTGAAAAGCCTCCTCTAACAAGTTCAAACTGCTATGAAACTATGAAAAATGCTTCAATACTAATCAAACTTGGCACAAATGTTGACTGGACCATTGCCTTTGTAACGACATGCTCAGTCTTAAATTTCCTGTTACCATGGCAACGAGGGGACATCTCAAAATTGCCAAAAATCACTTTTTTGCCTCGATTTTTTCCATCAAAATTTACTTCAAAGTGCTGCAACTTCTCAAGGGATTGAGATAGAGTCAAAGGCTTTTCAGCGTTGGTTACACGTTACCTTATGATCAACCTGGGGTCATTTTAAGCCTGTCACAAGTCCAAAATTTTCTTGGCGATGAGGGGGACTCCGCCCCCTTCAAACCCCCCAAACAGAAGGGGGCACATCCCCCTTCTGGCAACCCCCTGATGTATTATTTGGATGGGGGACGGCGCCGAAAAAATGGTCACTTTTTTTTTACAACATTTCTCAAACGAAAAACAGTGTTTGGGGTCTAAATAGGACATTTTTTCACTGTTTGAGACCTCAAAAAGGGGGGGGGGGTCAAAAAGCCGTCGAAACACGCTTATATAAGGGAAAAGGTTAAATAATTTATAAACGTAAAATCATTTGGTTTCCATTATCATGTGGTCGATTCTCAAAAGAGTTGCCACGTAGAATATCTCTGTTATGAAGCACAAATGAGTAACGTGCGTAAAAAGTGTAAAATATTCCGGAAAAAAATATTATGCTGCTTTTTAAGTAGGGGTTTCACCGTTTAGCAATGATTTCGTGCATGTACCATTCGCTCTTCAGGAAATATACAAACATTATTCTTTCATGTAGATATTTTAGAATTATTCTTGTTCAAAAGTCGAACAATAACTTAGTAAACTAATGCATCAGATATATAGCTTATTTACTGAAAGAATATAACTGTTGACATGTGTCTGGGGTTCGCATTCGATAGCGAAAGCTACTTTTTGTGCCATAGCGGCAGATGGACCCTGATTAAACATGAATTACCTAAATCCGGTTATGATCAATTAATAAAAAAATGGAAAGAATTCTATTGGAATCTTTATATTTTTCATTATAAATTATTTTATTAAGCCATTTTTAAAATATATATATAGCTATTTCAGCTCAACTTGACAGCGGAACTTGACAGCGGAAAAAATGAGCATAATGTTAAAATGGTATTATGCGTGGAAAAAAGCATTATAATATTTCTTATATTCAAATACTCAGTTGCAAAGGAAAATGTTGGACATTCTACAAACTTACTTGAGCAAAATATTAGCCAATTTGGTATCAAAAAATTGACCACACAATGATTAATATTTTGTATGGTCAGAATTGCACGGCTACGTGTTAATAGCGGATTGTTGATAAGTAAAAGTTGCAGAATTATGGATTTTTAACGTTTTTATTTGTGTAATTTCGTGACAGTAAATTACTAGCTGTTGCGTCCATCACGTCAATAAAAATGCTCAGGGAGCGATGGCCTAGTATTTAAGGTGTCTGCCTCTCAACCCAGGAATCATGGGTTCGAGCCCAACTCGGGTCACGACCATGTTTCCTCATATGGCATCAGTAATTCGAAAGTAATTATATTAGATGCAATTAAGAACTTGTTTCGCAATGTACATTGCAGCTAAAATTAATTTAAGTTTAAACTAACGACAATGTTCGACACTGCATGGCGTAACATCACGTGGATTAGGGTTTGAGTGAAATTCCATTAAAGATTTCAAGTATTCAAAGGCAAACACACATTTACAAAAAGCACAATTCTGCAAATTGTATGTTTCACCTCTCAGCGGTTTACACATAATCAAAGTTCTGAAAATAATCAGATCTCAATTAAATGTAAATCAGATCAGTACATTTCTGCAAATTTTGATACCAAAAATACCTGTATTTTGCTGAACAAGTACTATCAAGACTGTGTTGAGAATTGAGTACCGCTCAAGTCGGATCTAGGGGGTCACGAGGAATGTTGCACTTATTCATTATCCCTCATGTACAGACTCAATCAAACCCAGTCTGCAATTTTCATGTAATTTTGTTGTGATTAATGCTTCCGAGGGATCCCTTTATTTCCAGATTTTTTAGTATATTTATCTGAGAAATATTTTTAGGCAATTCTTCTTACATCCCCTTAAATTATGTACCAATGTCACAGGGCGAGAAAAACGTGCAGCCTGACCGGGACTCGAACCCGGGACCCTCGGAATACCGTTCCGCGGCTCTACCGACTGAGCTATCCGGCCGCTTACACATCTTCTCCCCTAATTTATGAACAGTTCTGAACCGTGACATACTCCCCTGCTGTATTGAAATTCGTCCTCGAATTTCACAGAGTTACAGAGCAATGTAAATTAAACTCTGAGCTTTATCAGCCACGGTCCCCCGTTGGGGGCCAAATGTCGCAGGGTGAGAAAAATGTGCAGCCTGACCGGGACTCGAACCCTGGACCCTCGGAATACCGTACCGCGGCTCTACCGACTGAGCTATCCGGCCGCTTACACATCTTCTCCCCTATATAGTGAACAGTTCTGAACCATGACACCAATAACCGCACTAAACGTGTGTGGGGTTGTATCGGGAGAATGTTTTATATATTACGGAACTTTAACGGCTTTTTAAGGTATTATGACGGGACTGAATAGCTTTTATTAAAACCCTCATTATGTGATAAGGCAATAAATAGTTTCCAGAAAGTAGATAAACAATATCCTTTAATTCAAAATTTGTAGCTTTATATTTTCCATGTCTTGTATATTTATTATTTATCTCAAAAGTATGATACATATTTACGGTTGTCATCTTCAATTAGTGTTGTGAAACTTTTGCTCGGAGTGATTTTTTGCACTTCCGCCAGTGATTCGGTTACCTGTCATCAAGAAAAAGAGGAGTGACAAATCTAAACAAAACAATCGAGTAGAAATGAGTACTAGGTCTGAAAAAGAAAAGCAAAAAGTTCAGCAAGAAAAATTCCAGGCTATTTTGTCTAATCTTCTGAAAGATGATGACAACAAATACTGTGTAGACTGTGATGCGAAAGGTTATTTTCCTTTTGAAAAATTTCAGTTTTGACTTTTGAAGTCTCGAGACATTTTCTTTTCCTATCTTAAGAAACTTAACATAAACTTTTCTGTATTTGGAATTCATAGTAGGACACACTTAAATACCACAATGTTAAAATATTTTATTATTCACAGAAGTATGTTTTTTGATCTTGTAGATCAACACTTCAAACTGTCAGTCAGCCCAAGTTCTGCTTATAATTATAAGACCTAATAAGAAAGTAGGCAAAACCTATGAATAGGGAAGTCAGATAAAAAAAATATTCATTGTTTATTTTCCATTTAAAGTATCATTTGGAAATTTTGGTATTTCATGCACCATTTCTGCATTCCATTGGAACACCTTGATGTTTATTCTTAAGCTGAAAGGTTGTTGCTGGTCTGTTATCAGAATTCCCTGCCTTTAATCCTTAAGTGACATTAAAAATGGTGGCACCCATCAAAAAATGAAAATAAAAAATTCACCAATGAATTGGTATAGAATTCAATACATTTCGAAGTGATTTTCATTTGAAATTTAATATACACATCTAGTCTATTGCCAAAATATATATCCAGTCTACAGCTGGGCAAGACAAAGCCTGGGCCACCTTTGCGAACACAGCCTTTGACTTTCCTGTATAAGTAACATACTTCATGTTCATCCTTCATTTTATAGAGTATTTTATATTTTTCATTTTCCTTGTTATGTTGGGTCGACTGCAAAATATATAGCAAAGTTTGCAAACAAATTGAATTTAGATGTCCATATAGATCTGATGCATTTAATGTTTTAACGAATAAAAGCCTTAAACAGTAAATATTTGAAGGTTATTAATAAATATCAAATATATATGAAACTTTAAAATGAAACAGAAAGTAGGCAAAACTTATGGAACAGGGAAGTCAGGTGAACTGAGTATCAATGGCTGGGGAAATGGATCTAGAGTCTTGTTAACTCGTTAACCATTTCCTCGAAGTACCATAGAATTTAATGGTGTCTCAAATTAAATCATAGATCTTGTTTTACAAACAGTTGCTTTTTACATACCGAATCAACAGGAGAAATAAATATTAATAAGGTTGTTTGTTTTATGTTAGCTGCAGTAACAGTGAGTTCCAGATAAAAGTGTTGCTTGGAAGAAGGAGACTTATAATAATTACATGGGGCATTAATTTGTCTGTTAGGAAGGGAATGCATGTATCGAGTGAGTTGAATATATGATGGTATTTGTACTGCAACTGGTCCTCGGACAATATCATACGACATTAGAAGCCTTGCTTCTTCTCAATTATTATAATCAATGAAATGATTGTAAAATATCATGCTAATGATTCATTTCAGGTCCAAGATGGGCATCATGGAATTTAGGCATATTTCTATGTATAAGATGTGCTGGTATACATCGAAATCTTGGTGTTCACATCTCCAAAGTAAAATCAGTCAATTTAGACACCTGGTCCCCAGAACAAATAGCTGTAAGTAGACAACTCTAATTGTTTTTTATTTGCAGTGAATTGGTACCATTTTCATTATGAAACTTTGATTTAATTACAAGTATTTATCTTTATAATTTAATACAAAAGTATCAATTTGAAAATAAACCTTTCGATGCCAGAACTTAAATCATACAATGTATGTATTGAGATATTTCTTAGTTTGTTTAATGAAATGATTTTAATTAGGTAAATGTGTTCTATGTTTAAGATGATGATGGAAATTGGGAACAGTCGTGCCCGTGCTGCATATGAAGCCAATCTTCCTGACAATTATAGGCGACCACAAGCAAATGGGTAAATGTTTGTACTCTTATAGAAAATCTGCAGTCCTGGAGATAACCCAAGCTTTTAATATTTCATCACATTTCATATGTTTACCACCAAAAAAATAGCTTAGACCAGTAATGCAATTTGAATAAAACTTAACAGGATTAAAAGATAGCTCAAGTACTTGCAGATTATTAAAAAAATTTCTGTTTAAATGATTTTGGGCTGAGTAATGGCCTAAAAATGATTTTAGTCGGTTTATGATTTTTGTGTTGCCTGCTACACAGTAACTACAACATGCTACAAAGAAGCTGTAACATGCAGGTAACAAACAAGTCAGTCTTCCCTCAATACAAATACTTAATTGGCTAACATCAAGCAATACATGTTATCACTGAGTGATTGTGCTTGTTTATACTACATTTAAATTAATAATATGAGGTATTACATACAAATGTTTTCTCCTTTATTTTAGGGCACTGGAGAGTTTTATACGAGCAAAATATGAAAGTAAAAAGTACATGGCAAAGGAATGGGTTCCACCAAAACCTTCAGTACCAAAAGAAGTAAGAATTTTTTTGCTTTAAAGCAAATTTGGTTTTTTGTCATCTGAAGTATAGTGTCACTATGTTACAATGTTATGTCCAATGATTTAGTTTGTTGTTAAAACATTTTATTTACTGACATTGATGTGAAGATTTATTTCAAATTTATACTTTTGCTTATTAATGAATTACTACAACATGAAAATTTTGAAAATGAATACAGAAATGTGTTGATAACCAACTTATAAATAAAAATAAAAACAAGACACTTTGTAAGAAATATATAATTTGCAACTCGATTATTTATATAATTGCCCTATATTATAACAATAAAGCAAAATTAGTATTTATATTAAAATATAATTTATGCTTATTAATAATCCATCAAGTTTCAGTCTATGTTGGAAGCATTTTTATGCCCCCGCCATAAAATGGGGTTGGGGGTGGATAAAGTGTTGCCTTTGAGTGTCATAAAAAAAGGGTATAACTATTAATGTTTGGTTCATAACTTCTGCATCCATGTTGTGTTTTCAAAATAAACTCACCGATGCAATTGTCACCATAAGTAGACAATGTTTCCTGTGCAAGACCAAAGGTTCCTAGCTAACATGTCAAGATCTCATCAGGTGATTGGTGTATTTTTTATATAATCCAAAAGAAGTTGAAGTTTTTGTCCGGAATATAACTGTTTCATGCATGCTGGAATTTAATTAAATTGATACAAAGACCACCATAATTAGACAATGTGTCTTCTGCAAGACAGAGGTCAAGGATAAAGGTCACAGCAAGGGCTTGAAATTAACGTTTTGTCATGTAGTATTAAATTCATATGAATTTATGTCTGGTCTTTAACAGCTGCCTTTATGATGGGATTTTAATAAAACAAAACTGGTATGCATGATCATCATAATAAGATGATGAATTGCATGCAAGTTCACAGTTTTAAGGTCAAGGTAATATTAGGAGGTCAGAGGTTAATTCTTGTATGTCATATACCTTTGTCATTACTTGATGGATTGTAGAAATATTTGGCATAGGTTAGAGGTGTAATATGCAAGACTCATGGCTGTACTTGGAGGTCGAAGGTCAAGTTGTTTTTGACCACTTTCCTTTGGCTGATAATGATGTATTCACCAGGATCAGAGGGTGTGTTAACTGCATTACCCATATTAACATTGTGCTTTGGGATATAAATATAATATGGCGGGGGCATGCTTGTCCTATTGGCACATTTCTAGTTTTAGATTTGAACATCAGTTATTTATATATTAGGTATAGCTTTTACTCTTGAATGTAAAGTTATCCTGCATAGACAATGCTTAGCCAGAAGTTACAAAGATAAAATGTGATTGAATTAGGTTCCCCCTGGCTTGAAGTTAAGTTTAACTATGTTCATATGTTAGATGTATGTGTTTAGCATAGTGTATACATCAGCTTTATCCTTACAGCTGCAATTTCAGGTGAGACCCTATGAATGACCCATCTGTCTGTTTAATGGCTGTAGTTCTATGTTAGGTCATCCTTATATACAGTCAAACCTGTGTGAAAGATCACATGTTATAATGACAGGTCTTACAACACAGGGTGGCCTGTATTTTTATGTATCAGTTTTAGTCATACTAACATTTAGATTTCTCATTTATTTATGAAATGAAGATGAACAATGTTTAATTAATTAAGCAAGTTTATCTTCACTTTGAGGGAGAGCTCTGTTTTTCATGGTTCCGTTTTATCATACATTATATACATTGTAAACATTATAATGTACTATTTAATACAATGATTTTATTATGCATTATAAATGCGGAAAGATCATTGCAAAATAAGCATATAGATATAGAAATTATTACAATAACAGAAAATATTCAGTAATACATGTAGTAATTTATGTGTGAATATAGAATGTCTAACTGATTAAAGGATGACCTTGAAATATATAGTCTTGTTTTTCTTGTAGCTAGTGTTAAGGCAAGGAGGTTCTTTATGTGCATTATTTTTTATTACACATTTGATTATCAAGTGCATGAGCCCCAATTTAGGTTATTTATATTATATGATTAATTCACTTGATCAGAATAAGGCATGGAATTATTTTGTTTATTAGCTTACATAAATGGTAATCGGTTTTCTAGCACTATTTTGGTTGTTTCAACCTGTAAATTTCAGGAAACAAATTTTCAAAAAGGTTTTAGGCAGGGCTGGGAGACGTGTTAAATGGCAACTATGGTTTAAATAATTTTAAATCCAACAGGGTTCTATAGTTGGTAGCTTTTTTGTATAAAAATTTTGATAATGCAATCTTATGATTTTTTAATGGACTATTCAAGCTTTAAAGGAAGGCAAAACCATCTCACATAAAAAATTTCCTTCTGATATATTTTAGATTTTTTCTATTATATGATGCTGCTGTGTATATAAATTAAAAGCTGGTGGAGGTTTATAGTTCTTGATTAAGAATATAATTCACACATTATGATATAACCAACTCTTTATTTGTTGTATAAGAAATATTATTGGTCTCAGCTGAGTTTATTGGCTATTTAACACAGATTTGAAGTTTTGATGAGTATAGGAATAGACAACAAAGGCTTCATATGCCTGAGCAGTTATTTTTTTGAATCAAAATAAATTGGTTATTTAGGTTGTGATTTTTAACCAGGTTTTCCGAAGGAAAAAACTGGTTATTAGATTGAGGTATGTCGGCGGGCGGATGGGCGGGCGGGCGTAACAAATTTCTTCTGTGCGCAACTCCTCCTACATTTCTCAACAGATTTTGACCAAACTTTCACAGAACCTTTGTCATTAAGTGCCCTGGCGCATATTGTCGGAGTTTTGTGATTAGATAATATTTGACCTAATTATGGCCCTTTGTTTTTTTTCCTTATACAGAATATATAGTTAAAAATTTCTTCTGTATGCAACTCCTCCTACATTTCTCAACGTATTTTGACCAAACTTTCACAGAACCTTTGTCATCAAGTGCCCTGGCGCATATTGTCGGAGTTTTGTGATTAGATAATATTTGACCTAATTATGGCCCTTTGTTTTTTTTCCTTATACAGAATATATAGTTAACAATTTCTTCTGTATGCAACTCCTCCTACATTTCTCAACGTATTTTGACCAAACTTTCACAGAACCTTTGTCATCAAGTGCCCTGGCCCATATTGTCGGGGTTTTCTGATTGGTTAATGTTTGACCTAATTATGGCCCTTTGTTTTTTTTCCTTTTAAAAAATATATATAGTGAACAATTTCTTCTGTGCGCAACTCCTACATTTCTTAACGGATTTTTACCAAACTTTCACAAAAGCTTTGTCATCAAGTGCCCTGGGGCATATTGTCAGCGTTTTGTGATTGTATAATATTTGACCTAATTATGGCCCTTTGTTTTTATTTCCTTATACAGAATATATAGTGAACAATTTCATCTGTGCGCAACTCCTCCTACAATTCTCAACGGATTTTGTTCAAACTTTCACAGAAGCCTTGTCATCAAGTGCCCTGGTGCATATTGTCGGGGTTTTGTGATTGGATAGTTTTTGACCTAATTATGGCCCTTTGTTTTTTTTCCTTTTAAAGAATATATATAGTGAATTTTTCTTCTGTGTGCAATTCCTCCTACATTATTCATGATTTACATTGCACATAGTTACAATTTGTTGCTTGTATTTGTATTTCAACTACAACATATTTATCTACAATGGTGAAATAATTGAAAACCTGGTTTCATGGCATTGCCATGTTTCTTGTTAAACTTTAATTTTAATTCCGTCATTTTGGAAGCTTACTTAATATCTGCTTTTAATCTAATGCTTGTCTACTGAACTAAAATAAAAATAATCTTTTGTTCTGCAGAGCTTTAAGGGTAAAGGTTATATGCACATTGCTTGATTTTTGTAATGGTTATTTTGACAATAATAATGTATAAAGAAAGTTATACTATAATTATATATGCTTGTGTGAGCCTTGTTCTGATACAGATGCTTGTAACATTTGTGTGACTGTTATGGCACAGGTAACACTGAATATATTGTAGAAATGGTGATGTACATGTATGTTCATTTCTCTGGTTATCTCAGAAATCACAAACCAGTAAATCACCCTGAGTTGATCTGTTTTGTATGGATTTAACTGATTCACACAAATGAGCTGCGTCACGACAAAACCAACATAGTGGGTTTGCAAAGACCAGTCTGCCCCTCCTTGCAGTCTGATCAGGATCCATGCTGTTCGCTATCAGTTTCTCTACTTGTTTAAGGGTCTGTCAGCGAACAGCATGGATCCTGATCAGACTGCGTGGAGGCGCAGGCTGGTCTGGATCCATGCTGGTCGCAAACCCATTATGTTGGTTTTGTCATGACGCGGCTCAAATTTACTGACAAATTAATACAAATTTACAGTATAATAAGAACATAATCTTCTAACATTGCAGAAGTACTCTTATCTTAATCATTACTAATATAATTATTGTCATATTTTTAACAAAATCAATTACATGCTTTCCTATACTAACTTTAGCTATTTCTAACTATAATGAGTTTTGTTGACAGTGTTTAACTTTGTTACTAACACATATTCTATATTATATGTATATATTGTATATCACTTATTAGACCAGAAGAAGCTGGATACCAGTTTCATTCATGGGAGTTTAGAGGCCTGTCTTGATAGAAAATACATGTATATGTTAGGAACCAAACAGTATTCATTAACAGTTGGAAGAAATGCCATTGTACCAGCATATTGGTACTGTTAAGTGTATAACAAACTGACAAAGTTTTTGTTTTCATTCTAGTTATTGGAAGATGACAAAGACAAAAAGAAGGCCAAGCCAAAATCAGGACATATAACCTTGAGTTCTGTAAGTTTGCCGGGCTGATAGGGTTTGTTTAATAGTTAAAATTAAAATATCTTATTGTTGGTTTAAATTGAAATCACAGTCATGGTGTTAAAGGAAATTGAATATTATGATAATATAGCCCCTCACCTGTGATATTATTATATTATGCACTGTTCTGGGTATTTTTGTGTTGTTTATTTCCATGGAAATTACACTCTGACTCGGCATAGGTCCATGATCATAATACATTTGAGGATCTGAACTTCAGGGATACGGAACGTTATGATGTACCTAAGATAATTGACAGGGGCATCTGAGTGCTCCCTTTGCCAGAAAAGCTTTAATCACAATGAAATATCAGTATTTCTAAAAGCCTAAACAAATAATTATACATGAATCAGTGTTCAATCTAGAACAAATTTCCAGGGGGCCCTTCGGGCCCATAAACTTTTTAAAAGGGGGTCATTTGAAAAAAAGGGGGCCAACACTTAAAATGAACATCAAATTCAAATAAGGTATTGTATCTTTTTAAGTTACTTGTTCACGCACCAAATATAGACGGTTGCAAAATTCCATAACAATCCACTCAACTTAAAAAATGACATTCTTTGGACCTTTTTCGAGAGTTCTGTTAGCGTTGATGCAGACTCAATTTTAAGAAATTATTGGTAAAGAAACAATGACATAATGTTCAAAGAAACATAATTATGAATCTTATTTAAATGTTACCAGGGATTTTTGATAACAGTGTTCAGTTTTTTAATCAGCGCCCGATATATAAAGGACAATCATAGTTTGCAATTAGCTTATAAACTTACAATAGTCGCTAAAAACATTTACCCTTCTCTGTATATCCAAGCTAAAAACAAAGTGTCAACAGTTGCTAAGACAATGTATATTGACATATATACCGGTACCTTTGATCTTTTGTCAGGGCAGCAGTTCTAACGTCACGCTTAAGATGTCTGTATTGATTAATGATATGCACAATGTTTTAGCGCCGACCAGCCAAAGACCAATCAAAGTTTATTTACTCAATTGTCAGACACTCCCTAGCCAATCGTGTTTGATTAGCTCCATCTTTAAGACTTTTTTAATTGGTTGAAGGCGTGTTCGTAATAATTTATGCACACATCTATAATTAACTCGCACTTTTCCACAAATATAAAGTTTTTTTTTCCTCGGGAAAGTTATTGCATATTAATTTGTTTTGACCGTTAAAAAACTATAACTACACGCACGTATTGGATTATCTGTGACGATTTGTTTTGTTTATAAAAGTAAGTAATAGTTACGGTACGAAGAACGGTCTGCATAGTATTTACAGAGCCGGACCGAGAGAGCGTAGCGATCAAGGTTTTAAAATCTTACCAACATGCTCTTGTTTTTCTATACAAACTTCAGTTTTGAATTCAGTATTTATTAATATTATTCACAAGAAACTTTTTATGTACTTAATCAGGTTTAAGATCATTAATGGCATTTAATCAGGTTTAAGATCATTAATGGCATTTTCTACTAGTGCGCCCGTTGGGCCCACAGTTGAATTTGTTTTGCGCCGGCGGTCTTTTCAGGGGGTCAATGGCGCGCTCTAGATTGAACACTGCATGAATTATAAAATACTGATCTAATCTAATAAATATTGAAATTGAAAATTACTGATGTAACATTACAAGTTTTGATGTTATGAAAGAAACTTCAAAATGATTTTATGTAGATATGATAATGTTTGCATTCAAATGCCAATTAGCTGTGAGCAGAGTATTTGAGCCGCGTCACAACAAAACCAACATAATGTGTTTGCGACCAGCATGGATCCAGACCAGCCTGCTCATCCGCGCAGTCTGATCAGGATCCATGCTGTTTGCTTACAAACCCTATATCAAGTAGAGGAACTGATAGCGAACAGCATGGATCCTGATCAGATTGCGCGGATGCGAAGGCTGGTCTGGATCCATGCTGGTCGCAAACCCACTATGTTGGTTTTGTCATGACACGGCTCATTTATTAACACAGGTACCAAGAGTAAATTCTGAACCACAAATGGCAACACATTCTAGTAAACCAGCTAATCCTAAACCAGTACAGAACAACTCGAAACAAGCCAGTACACCACAGCAATCTGCTCCTCCTCCACCTCCAAAGAGTTCAACCACAGGAGATTTAATAGGCTTAGGTAATGTTTCCTTAAAATTCCTCGCCAAGGGGTTTTTGTTATGCTTTTATTGTTACGTAATGATTACATCATTTCCGACTTAGTTATTAGTATAAAACTTAACATGTTCACTGGGTTTCTTGTTCTTTTAGTTCATAGTAAATCTGGACAAAGTGGTCACTCAAAGCATTGTCCTTTTGATTTTTATGCCCCCACAATGTGGGAGCATATAGCGTTGCACTTGTCCGTCCGTCAATCCGTCAGTCAGTCCGTCCGTCCGTCCGTCCGTACGTCCCGAAATCTTGTGAACGCAACTCCTCTTAAACCGGATGGCAGATTTTGCTTAAACTTACAGGGATGAACAACCTTAATGTGTAGATGGTAGTAAAGGAAGGAATTTTCGCTGCCAGGGCCTTTTTACCCTCTATTACAGGGGCCGGTATAGGGCTGCTTCCCCAAAGAAAATTTCTTTAAAATCATGCAGTTTTCCCCAAATATTGAATTTACATCAAGTTTTTTCTTCCCCTTTTGCAAATATACCATGTAATTTTTCCCCAAAATTAAGGGCTGGGCTGCTTCCCAAACTTGTGAAAAAAAGCCCTGGCTGCGACCAAATTTAACAGAATTATGGCCCTTTGTTGATTTTTTCACTATATACTATGTAGAAATTTTGTGAACGCAACTCCTCTTAAACCAGTTGGCAGATTTTGCTTAAACTTACAGGGATGAACAACCTTAATGTGTAGATGGTAGTAAAGGAAGGAATTTTTGCTGCGACCAAATTTAACAGAATTATGGCCCTTTGTTGATTTTTTCATTATATACTATGTAGAAATTTTGTGAACGCAACTCCTCTTAAACCGGATGGCAGATTTTGCTTAAACTTCCAGGGATTAACAACCTTAATGTGTAGATGGTAGTAAAGGAAGGAATTTTTGCTTCGACCAAATTTAACAGAATTATGGCCCTTTGTCAATTTTTAGTTTTCAACTTGTGGCACATGTAGTCCAAAAAATATTTGACCTAGAGTCATAAGATTGACAGAACAGTGGAGTGTGGGGGCATCCGTGTCCTATGGACACATTTCTAGTTTTAAACCGGATGGCAGATTTTGCTTAAACTTCAAGGGATGAACAACCTTAATGTGTAGATGGCAGTAAAGGAAGGAATTTTTGCTGCAACCAAATTTAACAGAATTATGGCCCTTTGTTGATTTTTTCATTATATACTTTGTAGAAATTTTGTGAACGTAATTCCTCTTAAACCGGATGGCAGATTTTGCTTAAACTTCCAGGGATTTACAACCTTAATGTGTAGATGTTAGTAAAGGAAAGAATTTTTGCTGCGACCAAATTTAACAGAATTATGGCCCTTTGTTGATTTTTTGTCCAAAAAATATTTTACCTAGAGTCATAAGATTGATAGAACAGTGGCGTGTGGGGGCATCCGTGTCCTATGGACACATTTCTAGTTTTTTTTATAGTTAGTGTAAATCTATTGTGTTTAGAATATCTTTAGACTCCTGTTAAGCATTTCTTTATGTAGTGAAAATTCATATTAGTTTGAAATTATAAAAGCTCTATCTATACTCTTTTTTTTTTGTAAAGGACGCACTGTTTTATAAGTTGAATGATAAAATTTGTCAATTACTTGATTCCTTGTAGACTGCATGAACTTTTGTTAAAAAAAATAATACATATGAGATATTTGTATGACGTATTCAAGTGAGGAAATTACTATTCTTCCTGTTAATTTTTAGAAAACTGTTATTTAAATTGAATATTGCACTATATAGAAAAAAAAGCATTATGTAATATCCAGATAGTATTAAACATTAGCAACTTTTTTATTTCCCTGTAATTTAGATTTTTGTTTGATCCGTTTCCATCACGGAAAGAAAAAAAAGATTTTTGTTTACAGTAGAACTTCCGTAAGTCACAGCTGAAGGGACCTGCGTAAAAACTTTGACGCATCAGGACTTTGTCTCATTAATCGGTCAAATTGGTCTCAATGAAATAACAAAAATTTGAGCTGTAAACATTAATAAGTGAGTTACAAAAGGCATAACAAAATGAAAGGCCAATAACTATACCAATGTAAATTTAATTATCATGCCACACTGGGTCTTGGAAGATCTCGAACAAAAATAATTTGTACTGTTTGTATTCAAATAAAACTATGGCAATTAGAATAATAGCAATTAAAGCATATTCTTACACAAAGGAACACATACAAAGGCTGTGTAGTACACACAACTGTTATAAAAGCTGATTGGCAATCATTTTCACAGATAGAAAAAGTATGAAAAAAACATCTTCATATTGAAGGTGTCCTTTTAATTGATGGACTTTGATGGCTTACTGGTATTTATGGTAAAATCTTCGCGAATTAATCTTTACTGACATCGTAAACACTTTTAACAGATTCGACATATTTGACTCTTATACAGGTTTTTTCAATTTCATAAAGAGAATTTATCATTGAAAAAAAATCAGGACTTTCATTTTACTTTGGCTCATTATGAAAATCTACTAATCGAAGTTCGACACATAGAAGTTCTACTGTATTTTAGTGTAAAGTTTATTCCATGTAGTGTTTAGAATTGAGATTTTCTGTTTTAGTGTTAGAATTTTTATTCTTTATTATTTTACAGTGAATATTATCAGTTTGTTGCATTTATTTTTCATAAAAGAGATGTATAAGGCAGAAACCAAAATAGTAAACTTAATTTTGCTAAATAACATGATTTTTTTTTAAATTTGCGTGATTTTAAAATGCAGCATTTAAACCCTATTATGTTGAAAATCACTGATTGAATTGCGGAGAGTTGGGAGATTACTAGATGACAGATATTTGTTTGTTAAGTCATGTCATGTTATACTGCGTAGATTTAACACAAAAGGCAGGTAATCAGACATTTCAGATTCTTCAAGTAAGCTAAGAGTAGAAATAGACAATTACTTGTTGACAAAAATATTTGTTAGTGTTGGTACAGAATGTCAGAAGCATTTAACAAGGTAAATACTCAGTCAAATTATACCTGATGTAACTATAATAAGCTTCTGATACAGATGAAATAATGATAAATACAGTTATCACATAAACCGCGGCGCAGGAGTGTAATAAAGCCATTTAATAAAAACGATATTACACTAGTGTAATAACACTTTGACGTGACGTCATTTGCGCTATATATAAACATAGCGTTAAAGCGCGCTAATGTTAGCGTTACACTATAGACGCGTCGTTGAAAAATTACTCATTTTAACAGTTTACTGTTCTTATTTTATAAATGTGATAAAAAGAATATTATATTCGTGTAGATTCAATACTAAATTTATTGAACTCGTTGAATAAAACAATATTATGCTCGCCAGAGGCTCGCATAATATGATTTTATTCAACTCGTTCAATAAATTTAGTATTAAACTACACTCATTCAATATCATCTATATGTTACATCATAGAAGTGGGGTTGTTCTCTTCAGTCTAAAATATGTGTACTTATAAATATAAATTTTCAAAAGATTCGATCATGTTAAAATGTTATTTATGAATCGAGTCACTAAATAGAAAAAAATATTATTTAGTGTTTGGTCAGCCAGCCACAGTTGATACAACAACTACTATATTAGGTAAGTTATAAATCTCTAAAACCCTTGTGCTGGTGTTGGTGAATGTTTTAAAAGCATGATGGGAAATAACTGTTTTAATATATATATAAAAAGGCTTAAGTTAAAAATTAATCTATTAACATCGTTAAGAATATTTTGTTCTGGAACATTTTATTCTGTTTGCATTCATGTATATATGTATTAAATTACATAGATGTTCTATGAAACATATCTTTCAAGAAATGACCAGTAATGACATTAACAAGTAAACAAAAGGGCATGTAGGTAAATAAGGAACTGAATCAACAATATTTACTGTTGTTATTTATTTCAAAATAGAAAGTGTATGTGCCATTCAGACGGGATGACATTTGAATAAAAAATAAAGCACTATTTGACAGGAATAGATTTTGTCTGGTAAACTGTTTTTCTGGTAAATTTGAAGGATCTCAGTAGATATAAACTCAAAGAGCTATCCTAGTCATGTATCATGGCATTGTAAAGTTCATAACATTTAAGTTTTGACGTAAACAAATTAGCAGTTCTCAGCAGGAAAAGTTACATAACTGTAATTTAAAGCATACAGTACATCACCCTTACTTGAGTTTACATTATGAATATTAAAGTTTAAATTCAACATTCTTATACAGTCGAGACTGCCTAAGCGACCCCCTGATTTAAACGACTCCCTGTCTTATCCGACCTTGTTTCAGTACTCCCAACGTATTTTCCTATATAAATGGTCTGAATTAAATGACACCCTGTCATATGTGACAAGCGACCCTAATTGTCTGGTCCCAATCCAATGTTTGGTCTGATTTAAACGACTTTCACACCTTTTAATTGTACTTAGTGCTTGGAATTAATTTAAAACAAATGTATTCAGTTGGGGTCCATCACAAAAACCCAAGAGAATGTTATCTGATCACTACAAATTTAATATATCGCCAATATCATTAAAATCGGATCATCGTTTTCACTCTGTTACTCTTAGTTGAGTGACAGGATATAAGTTTAATGAGATTGAGATAGCACAGTCTTAATGTTGATATGGGCCGCGTCATGACAAAACCAACATAATTGGTTTGCGACCAGCATGGATCGAGACCAGTCTGATCAGGATCCATGCTGTTCGCTATAAGTTTGTCAACTTGTAAGTGTTGGTACGCGAACAGCATGAAGCCTGATCAGACTGTGCAGATGCTCTGGCTGGTCTGGATCCATGCTGGTCGCAGACGCACTATGTTGGTTTTGCCTAATGCGGCTCATATATACAGTTGATAACCACACAATAAATATCTCTGGCCTTTTCTCAAACTTAAATTCAATACAAATATGTACATGTTACGATTTTTCTTTGTAATCAAGGCCTTATTAATTTAGATCTTTTCTGAGCATGTGCTAGAGTTTGCAGGGACTTGTAAACAATACAAGAAGGACAGAATGTTTTGCCAAATGAAAATATTGTAATAAATTGTTTATAAGGAAGAAAGTTAACTTAAAGTTGATATTATTTTGTACATTTCACATGCAATTAATAGTCAGGATTTATGATGATATTTCTTAATTGACATAGAGCTATAAACTTAATAAATAGTTTACAAAGGCAGATTTCTTTTATTTAAGAGCATGTTATTTGTGTAGTTTTGTTTATGTTTTCAATTTGTTTGGTTGCATGAATAGTTTGGGTTAATTTGTGGTGTGAATGGTTTTACTGAGAAGATATGTACATGTTTATATGTTTTTGTTAATAATTTTCAATTATATCATTTTTATGCTGCCAATTGGTTGCATTTTGTGTTTGCATTATTTGTTTGTGAATGCAGCTTGGCCTCATTTTCTTCATGACAGCATTACAATATTTGTGTAAAATATATTGACCCTGTACATGTATGTAGCAGGCTACAGGGGCATATAGTTTTGGTACCTTCAAGGTTTAAGTGTTGATAATTAAGTACTGCTCAAGCCAGTGCTAGGGGGCGTGAGAGATGTTGCACTTTTTAGTTTCCCTCATGTACAGACTCGATCAGACTGAGTCTACAATTTTCTTAGTTATCATCCTTTTTCCAGATTTTTGTTTATTTTTGATGAGTCATGGACCTTTTATATACTTTAATGAATTCACAGATTTAAAGGATGTCAGTTCATACATTCCTCCATCAGTATACCGGTATCACAATTGGACTAGGGCATAAACTTTAACTATTTTAACTTAACTTTCATGTGTGGTTAAAAAGTGCACTGCAAAAGAAACTTAACCCTTTTCAAATAATTCTTTTGGAATATTTGTTGAGCTATTGCCCTTTGTATTTTTTTTGCTTAATTTTGTATTGGGCAAAATTGAAATGAGTACCCATGATGGCAGATTTTCTTCATGCAACCATATCAGGCTGAGTTTGTGATTTAACACTTAATCTTATAATATTAAGTTATTTTAGTTTCATAACAAAATAGTAATCATGTATTTGTTTTAGTATAGTTCCACACTAACTTGAATGACTTAAACAACAGCTCAGGAGTATTGACATAGGAGCAACAGTAGCTGTTTAAGGCTTATTTATCTTGACTATTTGAAAAATCTGAAACTCTTCAAAACTACTGAAAGTGTTCACTTGAAATTTAATACTTTGGGATCATAACTAAATGTCCTTATCCAAGACTTTTGATTCTGACATGAATTTCGACTGACATACGACCCTTTTTGAACTTTGTAAAGTCTTGTTTTCTTTTTCAACTACATTATATGTATTTTGTATGTGAATTCTTCATCTTTGATAATTCTTACATAACACAGGCTTTTAGTTTATTATCCACCAGATATCACCTGTTGCTGTATATCAAATCAATTCATGTTACCCATGGCTTGATTACATGTTTATCAACCTTGGGTTTCCGATGATGGAAAAAGTAGGTCTTTGACTGATGCTACATACACATTTGCAAAGCTGTTTTTAACACAAACAAACAAATCAAAAACAACCTTTTCTTATACTGTAATTTAAAAGGCAGTTTGATCATTTACCTTGTAAAACTAAACAACTGAATTCTTTTTATTTGTTTATAGATGCCCCAACAGCAAGTGAAAATACTTCTAGCAGTTTACTTGACGACTTTATGGGTAGTTCTACCCCATCTTCATCTAGTCAGCCAGCAACACAAACCAATACAGCACAGGTAAACTTTCTCTAGATTAAACTCTTACTACCATAAATAATATAAGTGGTTTTGTCCATCTGTTTATCTGGGCAAAATCATCAAGTGTATAAATGTATTGACTGAATAGCAAACAGTGCAAATCATGACCAGAGTAGGCTTGGTTTGCACTGACCACATGGGAAGATTTTGTTATTGTCAGCAGTTAAAAAGAGTCCAGTCAGTCCCAATGTATTTTGAAGGTAGTAACATATTTCCAGTGCACTAAGGTGAATGTACATGTATATTCAAATGTCAAACATTACGTGACTTTTTTATTTTTCATTGTTGTTTTCAAAACAGGTTGATAATGATGGTGCAAGATCCTTATTACTGTAGGAAGTCATTGGCCTATCCTTGTTTCATTTTATACGTAAGCTGTGTAACAAATAGATATTTTAAATTCTGTAATGATACCAAGGGTTTATGAATTTTAAGGCTGATCAAATTCTTCTGTTTAATTATTTGTGATGAATGTTTCTAGATGAAAACAGAATGAGAGACAAATACATCACTGTAGATTTGAACCGCGTCACAACAAAACCAACATAATGCGTTTGCGACCAGCATGTCTGCATCCGCGCAGTCTGATCAGGATCCATGCTGTTCGTTTACCAACCCTATTACAAGTAGAGAAACTGATAGCAAACAGGATGGATTCTGATCAGACTGCGCGGATCTGGTCTGGTCTGGATCCATGCTGGTCGCAAACTCACGATGTTGGTTTTGTCGTGACAAGGATCAAATGATAAAAAAGATTAATTCATAGGTTACAGTTGTAAACATGTCATATTTCAGAGAAAAAAAATAATGCCATCTTAGCAGTTTAGAAATACATGTAATAGTTGTTGCTCAGTTTAGTGTTTACTCTTGACTGGATGTTCTGTGCAAAATTGTTTGATATAACTCTGGAGTAATTTCTTCTTTACATTCATTAAACCTTTGAGTACCAGTTGTGACAAAATAATTCCATAATTTTGACCTATTTGTTTGTTTTATCTTTATCATTATTTACTTGTCTTTATGATTATTTATAAATCAGATTCTTGAAAAAAACTCAATTGTCAAAGTTGTCCTTACACAGACTGTCGGACAATGACAATACAGACAATTGATTTTGCTGCCCCTGCTAAATAGTGCTAAATGTATATCAAAATATATAACTATATTACTGGTACTATAAAAAAGTATAATATAGGAAGGGCGAAGTCACATCATATTTAGTTAAACCCTTGAAGTTTCACTGGGAGCAGTGAGTCAGTCCAGTCATTAAATTTAAGATTTTGAATTTACTGGCCCGAATCCCAGTTTTAAATTTATTCTACTATATATTTAACTACATTTTCTTAAAATTTACACTGGCCCGAACTAATTTTCACTGGCTGTGGGCCACAAGGCCAGTGCTAAATTCGATGACTGCCAGTCTCTTTTGTGAAGAAAGATCAGTCAAATCTTGTTTAACCATTGAGAATGGTTTTGATTTATTTATTTATCTAGACAGGACCTAATGATAGTTGTAATTATAGCAAGTTTACATTTTTGTTAGGTTACCTGTGAACTGGTAATGATTTTCACAGATTTGCAGGTGCTTTGCTGACATAAATCCTTAACCTTTTATAATAAGCTATACAAAAAATGAAGATTTAACTTGTTTTAAGGTATCAAACGGCAGTCTGGAAGCAAATTTATTCGGTGAAACTCCTAGTACAGAGAAAACCTCGAATGTATCAACAAAAGATTCAATCATGGCGTTATTCGGCGGTAGTCAACAAACACAACAACAATTTGGTGTTCCAGGTTGGTGACCCTTATAATTATTTATATAATTAGTTATCCCCAGTTAATCATTCCGAACCTTTGTTCTATAATTGTTTGCTTGATAATGTGATACTAATTTGTGTAGTAGTAAATAGGAAATAGATTTATTCTGAAATGTACTGTCCATCAATAGAGTATGTTACAATTTTACCAAGTTAAATATTTTCATTTTGTTAAACTATCTTTGTATTCTAGATATGCTTATAACATACTAACAATAATAGAAGATTATTAAATATGTACTGGAGAAAATCGTACAAGTAATTACTAACCTTAATCAACGTCTTCTTTAATGCAGCCAATACGTGTAGCTATACTTCACTTTACGAGGAAGTGGGTGGGGTAATGTCCTCTACTTACAACACTAACCCTTTTCAGACATCAATGATGTTTGCTTATGCTGAACCAGGTACTTGTTTAAGGTGATGGGTTACAAACACATCCAGGGATATTTTAGTTTAATCCTTTCTTTTTTCAGTTTATAGGGAATGTGTTGCTTAGGGGAAAGCTGTGATATTTTTATTTTTTATTCTTTTGTTTTTAGCTCCAACTTTTCGATGAATAGTCAATAATTTATAGGGAGTGCTAATGTATTTATCCCGCCATTGCTGTCATCGTCAAATTTTGGTTAAGTTTTTGGGTGCAAGTTGGTATTTCTTAACTTCTGAAGGGAATGGGTTGGAACTTAACATGCTTGTTCTCTGTGATTATTTTATATGATGCGCATAGGTCCCATAATTCTGAGTTATAGTTTTAGAAAGTTATGCCCCTTTGCTTACAGTCAAGCACTAAAAATAGTCGAGCTGGCTGTCTTACAGAGACATGCTCTTGTTTATTTTCTTCTGTATGTGCTTAGTGTAATGTGATATGAGTGCTATTTATTTAGATAAATTTATGTGTAAATAGCTTTAGTGGGTAACAGTACTGTTAATTTATTTTATTTTATTTAAAGCTACTCATCCACACATGGCTGCTAGTGATTTCAAGAATATAAACTTTTCAAATATTCACCCATATTTCACAATTGACTGATGTAATTTTTATCTGAAAAACTATTAAAATGTAACTTTAAATCAGAAATGAACAAACCACCAGGTGTGGGTGGGTAGCTTTAAAGTGATATTATACTCATTTTGTCAAATTGCTGAATTACCTATATACTGTCCTCCTCTTAGTTCACGGTACTTCACGCTTTGAAACAAGAAAGAAAACAACACATAAAACTTATGGTACAAATATTGTCTTAAGCTGTAACATACAGGTTTTTTCTGCTGTATGACACAAGGAATCAACAATATATTTAGTCAAAATAAGTTCAAATGAGCCAAGCGTAGACCATATGCCAGCCATTTTGAAAACATTATGTCATCATTTAAAATCGCGGTAATGGTGTTTTATTTCAGTTTTTTCTTGCTTCAGTTAAAATTTCTACATGTTTGGCATAATTTTAAATATTAAAAGTATCTTTGCATTGTAACACAAAATTTACTTTTTCAACAAACAAGAACATTTAGAAAATTATGATTGTTTCAGACGTATGCACAAATTTAACGGACTATTTATGCTTTTTGCAGAAGTTTGTAAAATGTTCTGTTTTACGTAAAAATCTATAGATTTAAAATATTTTGCACAAAAACTTTGTTGTTTAGGTGTTTGAATAAAATATGTCAATTTTGACCAATTTTAACACTGGTAATATGAAAATATGCGATTACCGTGAGTTAAGTGATGACTCGGAATTAATGATGTTGAGTATATATTTCAATGATTGACTCATGTAATGGTGATTGACCAATGACAACATATAAAAACTGTCTTGAATATAATACACTGCCCTACTAATTTAAAGAAATTGTGTACAGGCATTTCTTTGAGACATATGGGTTAGGATTATCCATACAAAATTGATTATATATACAGTTTCTAGAAATATTAAGAGAAAAACATTTTTAAGTTGAAGCACTTCCCAATGTTTGAAGAGCCAAGTTTGCTTGTTAATCCTTATCCCACTAAAAATTCGAAATCGACTTGTCCATCTTTCAATCAATTCTAAACCATTCATCATTTTTAGGAAAAATTTTAAAGTAAAAAGAAATTATTTGGTTATGACAGTGCATACAATGGTAACAGACATGTTGCATTCTTATAATATAAAATGATTGAATAAAATACAAGCACAAGTTTTAACCATGTCATGCATTGCAGTACCAAGCATGTAGAATAACATGAAAAAATATGTTGGTCTGCACCAGTAGCTGCTGCTGTCAGACTGAAAATTTAATGTTTTATTAGGCTTTGGCTTAAGTACCTATGCAAGACTGCCCGATACACATGGTAAGATTGTCTTATAGCATGGCTTCTGTGCACAAAGTTGAACATTCAGCTTTTTTTATAAATCATAAATTCATTTAGCTTTGATGTTGTAGCATGTATCTGAAATCTAAATTTTTTATAGAAAACTTCAATCATTGGTTTGCAAAAGTTGGTTTTAAAACTTTCTTTTTTGTACTATTTTGTTCTTATTTATTATTGCTATACATGAATATGATCCAAAGTACAGTCTAACCTGTTTGTAGTAGTCCGTCAAATTTAATGGACTAAGCTAAAATGGCCTTTATATACAGGTGACCATCAATACTATATGCATTAAAAAAACATGACCATGCTGGTATTATCATAATGGGGTTTTCTTGTAAAATGTTCACTTCAATTGACATTTATAGTATACTGTACATGATGCAATAGTAAATAGTTGAGATAATTATTCAGTTAGTAAATGAGTACATAAAAATCTGTTTATTTGTATTAGAACTGCTGCATCTAATTGACCAAAATTTTATTTAATCTATCATGCATTCAAGAGGATTTGTAACACGAACATGTTCTGTTATAATTTGCCAACAGACTGACCAACAAAAAAGTGCACAAAAAAACTCCTCTTGTCAGATTAACTTTATTCGAAGTCACAGAAGGAAATAAATAACATAATATTATCTTTTGTTAAAAAAACAAAATTACCCAGCTCAAGGTAACTGTTAAATGCAAAGAAGTTCAAATTAAACTCTTATTAGAATGCTTATTAGAACAAGGCCATCAACATTTAAATTTTCAGTCAGCATTCTAATGTCTTGCTTTTTGTAAAAAAAACAGCATAATGAGTACAAAAGTTCTTAAATATGAAAGTTATACACTTCTCTATAAACCTTTCCATGTTTAAATTATGTTACATACTTTATAATATGTCAGAATTCAATATCTCAATATCAAAATCATCCATTGGTGTAGAGTCCATTTATGACTGAATTAGATAGGAGCCAATCTGCCTCTTTAATGGTATAGAGTCGTGTAAGACTGCATAGATGAGCCGGCCCTCCTGGGTCCATACTGGTGGTATAGGCAAGTTTGTATCACAGCTAACATTCAAAAGTTTTAATAGCGGCCAATGACATACATGATGGATGGCTCTTGTAAGAAACATGGTGACCTCAATTGTTTATTCTTTGTCATAGTGAAATAATTAAAGAAGTATGTGGAAGAAAAACAATCTTACATTATGGTGTTCACTATGCTCATCATGATATAAATGTTTTTAAACTTCATTCTGATGTTGGGTTTTTCTGAATATATTCTGATATAAAAAAAACATTATTGTTTCATTTTGAACTGCTAATTGACTTGTGCTCAACCTGTAATGTTGTTGGTTCAAATCTTGCATGAAACATTCAAGTCCTCTGATCTGAGTAGCTATTAACTTCCTTTTCTTGAAAAAATACAAAGACACACTAAGTCTTGAGGTCCTCCTCCTGGAGTAATTTGGAAAGTGTGCATGTCACCTTTGACTTAAAGCCTTACCGAAAAGAATTTTTTGTTTTTATTTACCGGTATGTCTGAACTTGATTAGAATGAGAGTATTATCAGAGTAATAAGGTTTACTGATTGATTAGTTTTAGTGAACAGCTAAGCCTTTGTAATACAACTTGCAACCAAGCCAATTTGTTTTCAACTTATCGTTTTGCTCAATTGTTATGATACAATTTTTTTTTAAAGAATACATTTATTTACAAATGGGTTAAATTACAATGAAATTTGAAAGGAAGTCAGAGTATCTTTTTTGTGATTTTTATGGATAGATAAATTTGAATTGTTATGAATGACTTGAAATCATTCCTGTTTGTTTTAACTTGTTTGGAAATAAACCTCAATCCATCAATTCTTGGTGTGAAAGGTGATTTTTAAAAATCTCTACAAGTATAATACATTTATCAGAAAGATGATATTTTCTTTAAAGTGTAATGGTAAATGTTACAGAGAATATTCAAGTTTTTTCTATAAATACAGCATTTTACATTCATCAAGTGGAATGAAAATGAATGTTTCATAAGTGGCAGTAGCTGTGAGTAAAATATGATAATTTTCATACGACAAGATGAAAGTAAATCCTGTATTAATGAGAAAAAAAACTTGAATTTTCCGTTTATTATATACTTTTATCTTTATTAGTCTTATTATTTGATAGAATTGCCTTTAAATTTTCTGTTTTGACCGGATTTAGAAAAAAGTAGTCTGGCAAGACACCATTGAAAATACTGAAAATATGTTTCACTGCAATGAAAAATTAATTTTTACAGATACTGAAATACTGAAAATGAAAATATGCATTTTATTTCATCTACATTTCTCAATATTTCATTTATAAGTAAATAATAAATTGTATTATATTTGATATTAAAGCAGAAAGGTGTATATTTCAGGTGGGGTATACATGCCACAACAACAACAGATGGGTCCTGGAATGTATAATATGCAGCAGCCCCAACAACAACAACAACAACAAACAATGCCACAGATGAATGTGCAACAGGTAAGATTATAACCCTTTGGTTATTCATGCTACATTACAAGTTGTAAAATAAATTTCTCAGTGGGGTCATTTGGATAAAAAGGTTGTATATGCTGACTAGTGACATGTATAATTGTTTTTGTTTGTTTGTTTATTTAGGGCTCAGCTGAGTAACCCTATTTAATCACACTGTTATAGTTATAAGAGGGTATTGGCCATCCCCCTCATACTTTACATTATATATTAGTATTTATAGTATGTACATCAAGGGCCAAAAAACCCTTCTTTGTAGAGGCCGAATATAGGCTACTTCCCCAACCAAACTAGCCTCTTTTTTTCCCCAGTTTGGTCCTCAAAATCCCCCAGTCTTTTGAAATTTCCCATAGAATTTAGAATAAAGTTAAATGATGGTGTTGAATTAAGGTCTTTTACTGCCTTATTTGTATTTCCCAGTGCTTTTTGCTTTTCTATTTTGAAGACCTTGTTAAAAATTTGTGTTAAATTTGAGACCTTTTTTCCCAAAGTATGCCAAAATCACGCATATTTTCACCAAGAAAAAGGCTGAGGCCCCTTCCCCAAAAATGGTGTTTTGGCCCTGACATCATATAGTCATAAATCAAATTTAAATATAATACATTATAGTACATAACATTCATGTATAATTGTTAACTTTTACTTGCTTCTTTCACATTATCATTGTAAATGGTTATTGGATATTCAAATTAATAGTATCAGTTTTCCTTCCTTACTTAGATGATCCCTCTTGTATCTTCTAATTACATATAACACTATAAATGAAATGATATAAACATTTCTTGTACTGAAGGATTAAAGGGACTCCACTGAGGTTTAAAATCCTTAAAACATAACATTTGAATTTCTAACATAAATGAGCTGGGGAACTTTAAACAGAAATATATGCAAAGATAATAAAGAAATTTACTTTGAAATAAATTGAAAATCGTATTTTTATGGTTTTCTTAACCCGATTTAAGTGAAAAGCGTTCAAATGCTCTTCATTTTGGGTCATTTTTTTACAATTTGAATAATTATTCTGGAAAAACAAAATGCTCAAATGATCTAAAATTGTGCACAAAGATTAGTAGTCTAAACCTACATCAAATGGTACATTAATCTGGAAAAAGTATTTTCAGTTCCATCATGTCAAAAAACCTCAGTGGAGTCCCTTTAAGAGCTCCTATTTGAGCAGTAAAATTTCTTGCTTTTTTAGGACCAAATGTAAAAAAAAAAAAAACCCTTTTTTGCTTGAAAAAATCCTAAATTTTTGTGGAAAGGTTGTTATGATAAAACACAATAATAACTACAATGTAACTATTTCATTTGATTATTTATAGTAAGAAATTACCAGTCTGAAATTTAACAAAGTATTCTATCACAGGGCATGTATGGTAACCAGATGGGGATGATGGGTATGCCACAAGGTCAGATTGGTATGAGCTCTATGGGTGCGATGCCTCAGGGACAGATGGGAATGCAGCAAGGCATGATTGGAATGCCAGGTGCCCAGATGGGAATGTACGGACAACAACAACAACAACAGCCTCAGATGCAGCAAATGCAGTTTCAACAGGTGAGTAAGCCATCGACTTATCTTATTAAAATCTTGACAAAAAATATAGATTTTATTTTACAGAGTTGTCTGATCGGGAACACATTTATGACTATAATTTGCCATGGTAATAGTGGCATTGCCTTCTTTAAGGTTTTTCGTGCAAGGACATAATATGGAATGATGATGGCAGAAAAACAGGAAACAAGTTCTTGACTTTTTGTGAAAACAAATAAGTTTGTTAATTAACATTATTGTTAAAGATATTAACACAATTTTTGTTTATCTTTGTGGTTGGTCTGTTTGTTAGTGTACAGTACATGAAGAGTTTTGACCGGATAATGGAAGAATGTTTGTCAGGTTTTCTTGGGTTGATTGACTTTTGTCATTTCATACTTCAAAAAGGGTAATCAGTCCAGAGAGGAAGGTCTTCTGTTGTTTAGTTAAGGTTTAGTACTCACGAACTCACTTACATATCGGCAAGATATGAAAGACAACTCCTACGAATTCTATTTAAAATTCCACCAAGTTACTTCTTTTTGGAAGAATGGATTTTTTTAATCTTTGTTTTTTGTTTAAAAAAAAACAAACAAAAAAAACCCCAGACAATTTTGTCACAAAATTTATGTAAATTGTAATTTTCTTGCTAATAATATACAGGTAACATGGTAAACCTTCAGGATAAAAATCTTATTCTGACACTTCAGTTTCAAGTTTTGTTTTTGAAATTTTAACTGTAGAGGTTTTGCTAAGAGATTTATATGACAAGAAATTTCTATGTATACTGTACTAAATCTTAACTAAATTAACATAAAGTATGTATTGGTAAAGTTGGCCAGTTTTGGGCTACTACATAACAACTACATTGAGATGAAATAGGGCATGGCAAAGTGCATACTATGGAAAGCCTTGACTGTCTTATAATTATAAACCTAAACGTTGTTATGTCCATATAGCATTATATTGAGTCAACCCTTCCTTATACAATGTGCACTCATTATACCCCCAAAAACGAAGTTTGGGGGGGTATATAGGAGTCACCCGGTGGTCGGTCGGTTGGTCGGTCGGGCGGTCGGTCGGGCGGTCGGTCGGTCGGTCCAGACGTCCGTTGCATTTTCCTTGTCCGGAGCATAACTTGAAAACTAATGGTTGGAATTCAATATAACTACATACAATGGTCAAGCACATTGAGAGGAAGTGCAGTGCACAAGAACCATAACTCTATCTTGACTAATTACAGAGTTATTGCCCTTTGTTACTTTTCCTTGTCCGGGGCATAACTTGAAAACTACTGGTTGGAATTCAAAACAACTTCATAGAATTGTCAAACACAATAAGGGGAAGTGCAGTGCACAAGAACCATAACTCTATCTAAAGTAATTACAGAGTTATTGCCCTTTGTTGCTTTTCCATTGCTTTTTTTTTGTCCGTTGCATTTTCCTTGTCCGGAGCATAACTTGAAGACTAATGATTGGAATTCAATATAACTACATACAATGGTCAAGCACATTGAGAGGGAGTGCAGTGCGTAAGAAACATAACTCTATCTTGACTAATTACAGAGTTATTGCCCTTTGTTACTTTTCCTTGTCCGTGGCTTAACTTGAAAACTACTGGTTGGAATTCAAAACAACTTCATACAATTGTCAAACACAATAAGGGGAAGTGCAGTGCACAAGAACCATAACTCTATCTAAAGTAATTACAGAGTTATTGCCCTTTGTTGCTTTTCAATTGCCTTCTTTTTTTTTGTCCGGAGCATAACTTGAAGACTAATGGTTGGAATTCAATATAACTTCATACAATGGTCAAGCACATTGAGAGGAAGTGCAGTGCATAAGAACCATAACTCTATCTAAAGTAATTACAGAGTTATTGCCCTTTATTACTTTTCCATTGCTTTCTTTTGTCCGGACCATAACTTGAAGACTAATTGTTGGAATTCATTATAACTTCATACAACTCGATTTTGACTTATTACAGAGTTACTGCCCTTTGTTTCTTTTCCTTGTCCAGAGCATGACTTTAAAACTACTGGTTGGAATTCAAAACAACTTCATACAATGGTCAAGCACAATAAGGGGAAGTGCAGTGCACAAGAACCATAACTCCATCTTGACTAATTACAGAGTTATTGCCCTTTGTTACTTTTCCATTGCTTTCTTTTGTCCGGACCATAACTTGAAGACTTATTGTTGGAATTCATTATAACTTCATACAATGGTCAAGCACATTGAGAGGAAGTGCAGTGCATAAGAACCATAAATCCATCTTGACTTATTACAGAGTTACTGCCCTTTGTTACTTTTCCTTGTCCAGAGCATGACTTGAAAACTACTGGTTGGAATTCAAAACAACTTCATACAATGGTCAAGCACAATAAGGGGAAGTGCAGTGCACAAGAACCATAACTCCATCTTGACTAATTACAGAGTTATTGCCCTTTGTTACTTTTCCTTGTCCAGAGCATAACTTGTAAACTACTGTTTGGAATTCAGTACAACTTCATACAGTTGTCAAGGACATTCAAAGGAAGTGCAGTGCACAAGAGCCATAACTCCATTTTGACAAAATACAGAGTTACTGCCCTTTGATACTTTTGCTTGTCCGGAGCATAACTTAAAACGTACTGGTTGGAATTCAAAACAACTTCATACAATGGTCAAGCACAATAAGAGGAAGTGCAGTGCACAAGAACTATAACTCTATCTTCAGTATTTATAGAGTGTTTGCCCTTTGTTCTTTTTCTTTGTCTTTCTTTGACTTATTACAGAGTAATTCAATTAAACTTCATCAATGGCCAACCACATTGAAAGGAAATGCAACATACATGAACCACAATTATCTTTTATTGCCCACAACCATAACTCTATGTTTCAATTCTTTTACAAGGTATTCTGTTACTAGTAACATCCTCATTTCCGAAGCAGTCTTGTGGGGGTATTAATCACATTTAGTGATAGTTCTAGTTAATATATTATGTGGATCCATCTTTATATGTAATCAACTGAACAATATATGATGTCAATCTATCATTATACGTTGTGCATTTTTGAATATATTATGTGGAGCCATCCTTATATAAGGTCAAAACAACAATATATGATGTCAATCTGTCCTTATATGATGTCAGTCTGTCATTATATGATGTGAAGTTATGAATATATTATGTGGAATAATTCTTATATAGAGTCAACATTATATGATGTGAACTTAACAATATATGATGTCAACACGTCCTTATATGATGTCAATCTTTCATTATACGATGTACATTTTTCAATATATTATGTTAAACCATCCTTATATAGAGTCAACTTAACAATATATGATGTGAATATGTCTTTATATGATGTCAGTCTTTCATTATATGATGTGCAACTACGAATATATTATGTGGAACCATTCTTATATAGAGTAAAAACAACATTATATTATGTAGAACCGTCTTTATATAGAGTCAACTTAACAATATATGATGTCAACACGTCCTTATATGATGCCAATCTTTCATTATACGTCGTGCATTAATAAATATATTATGTGAAACCATCTTTATATAGAGTCAACTTAACATTATATGATGTCAACACGTCCTTATATGATGTCAGTCTTTCATTATATGATGTGCAACTACGAATATATTATGTGAAACTATTCTTATATAGAGTCAAAACAACACTATAGTATGTAGAATTGTCTTTATATAGAGTCAGCTTAACACTTTATGATTTAATTTACTTTAATTTTTCTGCTGTTGCCACGAACGGTGCATAGTGAGATATAACCCGGTTAATTTAACCCCATCAGTATAATGACAGAAGCACACCATATAATGATGTTTGCACTTCATATAAAGCAGGGGTCATATAACAATAGATGCACGTATAATGAAAGATTGACATTATATATTGATAAGTTGACTGTATATAATGATGCAACCACATAATATATTCATAAATGCACATCGTATAATAATAGATGCACATCGTATAATGAAAGATTGACATTATATATTGATAAGTTGACTGTATATAATGATGCAACCACATAATATATTCATAAATGCACATCGTATAATAATAGATGCACATCGTATAATGAAAGATTGACATTATATATTGATAAGTTGACTGTTTATAATGATTCTACCACATCATATATTCATAAATGCACATCGTATAATGATTGGTCGACATCATATAAAGACAAATTGACATCGTTGAATTCTTATAAGGATGCATCTACATAATATATTCATGAGTACACATAGTATAAAGAAAGAGTGACACAACAACGTTCATTTTTACAATCATTAGACAGTCAAGGCTTTCCATAGCATACACTTGCACTGACTCCTGCTGTATTTAACTAATGCAAAATTATGTGTAAAGTGAAAGTCTGTAAGTGTTGAAGCTTCATGGCTCTATGACTTAAGCACAAATATATCCAGAAATATCTGACCCTTGAACTTAATCTTATTGTTTATTGTTATGCTATTTATAGATGCAACAGCAGATGGGCAATATGAATTTAGGCCAACCACAGATGGGAATGGGATGGAGTGGCCCTCAGTCATCGGGACATACCCTGTCTACAAACTTGTGGCAATGATAGGAGTAGAGGAGCTTAGGGACAACATTCCATCATCCTCTCATACATATATAGTACTCTCCATCAAACTAGTGATGAATATAAAGGACATTGTTTGTAAGGGTATCCACAAACATTGAGTTTGTTCACAGCACTAAACCATTGGGGTTTTATTTACAGATAGGGATTGTAATATTTGTTTATCAGAAAGTTAAATGTGATAGTATTTGTTTTTTAATATGTATAATATACTAGGTTTTGTAAAGAGATGTTTTAATACAATTGTATGAAAAATACATATGATTTATTTTACATTTAATCTTAAATCTTGTGTTTGCCATAAATTAATAGTTTATTATTTTATGTGCTGAAGACATTAAAAAAATAACTAGAGTACAGTATAAATTTATATATCCCTACTTTGATCTTTTATTTGAATAACAATATATTTGACCACAAATATTGACATGTGCTTTTTTGTTAACAAAAATATGTTGTGGTGAAATTCATATTATAATCCACTAATCTGATAATTAGAATTAGACAGATTAGGGAACTATGCATGTTTTCATTCACATAAATTCCTGTATCAGATCATTTCATCTAATTGGGTTTGTTCGACTGAGCAGTTATAGGCATGTTTGTTATATCTTTAAGCTACCCTTAGGTTAACACATAAGTAACCCATTAGTAATCAAAGAAATAAAAGCTAAAAATAAAATAAATATTGTTATTAAACTGACTGTAAGTCACAACATTCAAGTGTGTCTTGCCTATGTAAAAATAGACTGCAGTTTCAACTTTGTTTTTTAAATCTTGAGCAACATTATAAATGAACATTTATTTAAAGTCTGACCACTTGCCCCTAACTGCTGTGGGTTCAAACTCCACCAGGGACTGGATTTTTTTATGTGAGGAAGCTATCAAGCTGGTTTAGGGAACAAGGATTGTTCTTCAATAATGCACAAAGTGGCACCTTAGGTACTCCTCCAACAATAAAGCTGGAAAGTCACTGAACTGTGTTTGTACATAAAACCCACCAAAAATATATATATAGAATCTGATTTATGATATAAACACACAAAAATATACTGATTGATATTGATGGTATAAAATACAAGTAAGAAAAGAAAAAAATGTGTGTGCATATTCTTTGTATTTTTGAGTTAGTAAATTGACTTGTTCTTTATTGATATTTCTATTTATCTCAAAATAGTGTTAATATTTGGTTGTCATGACATGTTTTGTGGTGTGTTGTTTTTTTTTCCTTCAAAGAACACCAAATTTCATGATTACAAAGTTGTCAACAGGGTGTATGTGGGCCCATTTCCAAAAAGAGAGTGGAAAAAACAAACCCATAGAATAATTAGATGTAATGTTTACACTGGTAATGTAATGAGTTTAACAATATGACGATTTATATAACATGTTTTCTTATTTGAGAAAGTTTATTTCTTTATCAATCATTAACATCATTTCAAATGATAAGAAAAATTGAAATAGAAGTTTTAATTAAGTCATTATGATGTCTTTATATTACAAAAATGTGGTTCCACTGTGTATGAAAGAAACCATATGGACTTTTAGGCAATATGGTGCGGGAGGTGTAAAAATTTGATTCACATTTTAACACCCATTGCTATTAAAACTTTTAAATGAAAAACTTTCAAATAAATGAGCCGCGTCACAACAAAACCAACATAGTGCGTTTGCGACCAGCATGGATCCAGATCAGCCTGCGCATCCGCGCAGTCTGATCAGGATCCATGCTGTTCGCTTCAAGTAGAGAAACTGATAGCGAACAGCATGGATCCTGACCAGACTGCGCGGATGCGCAGGCTGGTCTGGATCCATGCTGGTCGCAAACCCATTATGTTGGTTTTGTCATGACGCGGCTCAAATGTTAAATCTCTATCCATTAACTGATTATCATTCCGTACATGATTCTAAGATTTCATGACTAATTCATGTGCCAAGCATATTTATTTAGTTTCATTATCTATAAACATTTATTGATTTTAATTGAAATTTGCATTCTTAGGTCTTATAGAAAACATGGCAGGTTCTAAAAATATATTATCCATAAATTTTTTGTTGATTTAAAATTGAAGATGATTTATGAATTGGACTGGGGATGTGCAATGTTTTAATTTAACTGATGTTGCAAATAATATCAAAATGACCAAGTTCAGTTGATTTAGGAGAATATAAATAATATTAAAGAATCTTGAACCACTATATTGTAGAACATTAGGCCATACTATTTCTTATCATTTGTTTGTTGTATCTTTTTCTGCATGTAAACTTAAGATTGTGATATACATGTGAATATTTTGTAAATATGTTTTGCTCTTCAATATTGGAGGAATAAAAAGTATCTATCTAACTGTTTCCAATTGTATGAGTGTGAGAAACTAGAAAACTTAATTATTAATTGTTCAATTATATATGTTCATTAATAGTTAGAAAAAAAAAGAGAAGTTTTTTAAATTATTAAGGTACAAGTATTACCTGAAGATGTGACAGTCTGTAGAACTTTAGTCTCATATTTTGTTTGCAATAAGAGATGAAATTTTGTAGGACCCACAAAATCAAAATCATTCAGCTGTCAAGATTTTGTAAATGCTGTCTTACACTCTTAGGCCATAGTAAGATGAAAACATTTTGAAAATTTTAATGTATTGTAAGTTCTGAATAAAGCTTCATGCATTAGTTCTTTTTGCATTTGTTGTGTTCAAATTTTGAAAAAGAAAAATTTCAAATTATTTGTATGAAACAAATATGCTTGCATTTTTTTAAGGAGCAAATAGCATGTTCAGGAAATCATTGTCTCAAACGGTTTAAGCACTGCATATAATATCAGCGTAGTGTTTTGTTCTGGAACATTTTATTCTGTTTATGCACAGTATACATGTGACAAGTTTTCAAGAATCTAAGATTAACCTTAAGATTTAGGAAACAACAAAGTTGTACCATTTATAGAAATATTTCATTAGATTATAGCTTTATTCTCTTTAAAACATTGGTATCAGGTATTGTGTTTAAACTTCTAAAATGTTCATGTGCTGGTTTTGAAATCCTTCATGTTATTGTGTAAAATCTGCTTTTTTGTGAAGTAATAATTTCTGTAGATTAAGTGTACCGGTATGTATTATTGTTAGAAACCCAATACAGAAATAAATTTAGTTCAGTTTCGCGTGACTTGTTTTGAATGGAAGCTGTAGAACATTTAGGTGTAATTGTTAGTGAATGTCACTAAAACTAGCATAAAAATAATTTAGATAGGTTTTGTATAACTTGTATTGAATGTTGTGAAAATTATTTGATTTACTACACACAGAAAGATGCTGGGTTTGGCACATATCTTTTTGAAAAAAGAGATACAATTATGTTAAAAAAATTTGTAATAAATTTACCAAAAATTAATACTTCATAAATATTCATTATTTTACAAGAGTAGCTTCTATTTTATGTTCATAAATATTCATTATTTTACGAGAGTAGTTTATATTTTATGTTTAATTTTATATTTGTCAGGGTGATTTGAAATATAAATATACTATTTCATTTTCTCCATGTTCTCCATTTTTTTGAGGAAAAAGAACAACAACAAAAAAATGTCTGAAGTCATTTGAAAATGTTTGATAGAAATAAAACACATTGCTTTTAAATAGCTAGAGACTTTACCTCAAATGATACAAGCAGTTCAGCATTTTCAGTATTAATCCTCAACCATTCTGCTCACATGCAATTTTGATCGCTATTTTTCAAAGCCATATTGTTAAATATAACTGTAATTTCACTATACTTGATGAAATATGGAGCATATATTTATTCATTACCAATAATCCAGTGATAACCGTGTCTGGATGTAGCTTACATCTGAAATCTTACAGTGAAATAAACGTACAATCTATATTTATATTTTAGGCTAAATCTGATTGGTCTTTCAAAAGCAAAATGATAATTCAGGAATAAGATTAAAAATTAGTAACTCCCATGTCAATCAGTCCAAAAGAAGTTAAATCTACCCCATGTTAAATGATCTACACAACAAATCACTTTCAATTCACATTTCCCAGAGTGCAATTTTATGTTAAAATGTAGACTGGGTACCAATCTGTCCTTGGGTGAATTTGAATTTAGACTGATTTGCCTTACATTCTTAATCTGAGTCGATATAGAATAGCCATGTTGGTGAAGTTTGGTATCATAGATACCTGGTATTATATATAGTACTTTGTTATATTGTTTTATGTAGTTAACAGAAGCCAAATGTGAATACCAGTACAAAAGTATGTATAGATATGCTCTCATTTTGAAATCGACAAAGCACCATGTCTCAATGTTTGACGATTTTGTCTATATCATGTAAGATATGTAACAAATTTAATTTTTGTAGATTTGAGATTAAATTTTGTTTATATATGTGTATTTTGTACAATGTATGAACACTTAACACTTTTCTGTAATAAGTTACTGCTGAAAAATAACAAACACTATCCTGTTACCTAAATTTTAACCAGTGAAAACAAAGGACATTTTGCATTTAGTTTGGCAATACACTGTAAGAAATTTCTTATTTAAAAAACAGTTTGGTGAAGAAAAGAATTGAGAAATAAGAAAAAGAGGTTTCAGTATGTAGATATGTTTTCATATTATTATACAAAGCAAAGATACTGACAAAAAGAGGGGCTGATCAAAAAGCTGATTATGAAATCCTGTCTTTTTTGTTTTATTTTTTTAAAGAATAAATATGTATGAAATTCAATGTCACCTTTTTAGTCAGCCTTTTTTTCTTTCTTAAACTATAAAAGAATTATAATTTACTGCTTGAAATTATTGTTGATGCATAAACATGTAGGAAATGTTGTTAAATTTGTGTCATCGATCATTTTAAACAAGTGGTTTTCAGTTTTTCTTTTTTTATATATTATATTGAAGTGTTTCACAACATGTATGTATGTATTTGTACTTTGTTGACTCATTATTTAGTGAATTGTAAATATTATCATTGTGAATATTAAAGATGATAAGATGTCATTATATTGTGTTCATTTATCATGTATACCATAAAATTTCCAGCTTAAACTCTTTAGAAGCAAAAATAAACTTGTGGCTTTCTGGGAGCGACTCAATTTAGGCCAATTTTTTTTTATATTTTGGTTTACTGATTTTTTCCAAAAAAAGGTAGGGTCGGCGGCGGGAAAAAAAAAAAAAAAAAAGTTTTCATAACTATAAATGTGGTGCATACATATACATAGTACTTACTAGAGCAATGAAATTAAATACATTGCCGATTGTCTATTCCAAAGATTGTTTAAATACACAAAAAAAAAACTTTTGCTCATATTGCCATTGTTTAAAAACACACATGAAATCTACACACAATGACTTATGACAAGTGGCAAGCGAGCTCTCCAAAAGAATCTGTCATTCTTTGATGTTTACACACTGCTGTGTAATCTGAATCATCAAAGGTGCCGAAAATCAGCTGACTTGCACTCATTTCTTTATAGATCAGTTGTTAAAAAAAACTGTCAAGAAAAGATTACACAAAGTTATGTTCAATTTTGCCCATTGTGAAAATATTTTTATCGGATAATTAGCGGGTCAATTTTTGACATAAAAATCTATTAAAAGTAAGTGCGGGCATTTTTTTTTATTTTGTTTGTTTGAAACCTGTATTCAACCTGCTTTTAAAGACTATTTTTTTTTGTAAAATCTGAAAATACTGATCTTGTCAATTGCAGCAGATTTCTCTCGCTCTGTCCTTGAATGTAATTGCTTACGTAATTTGGGGTGTTTCTTTTTTTTGTTTGGTTGTTTTACATTTTTACGCATTTCGACCTTCAATGCATTGATGAAATATGATCAAAGCCTAATTATAATTCTGTGAGAATGACATGCCCCCTTTTAACAGACATTCTTTCATAATACACCAATAAACACTTTGCCCAACTAGCAGACGACAGGCTATTCTCGAGTAAAGATAACCGGTTGCGTATCTCACTGTATAAATCGTAGGTAAAATAGTCTGGCATGTGGTAGGTTTAACAGTTAATTAAAATACTTACCGGCGACATTTCTTTGACAAGTCGTATTATTAGCAGCGTATTTCAAGACAACACAGAATTTTTTTGGGGGCAGATTTTTTTCTTTTTTTTTTTTCATTTTCCCAAAATACAGAGTCGGCGGGTCTGTAAACCGAAATATCAAAAAATAATGGCCTTACCCATGCAATCAGTGTACACTAAAAACAAGCCAGCACATCTGTGCTGTCTGATCATAGTCTGCACTGTTTCCTATTAAGTCATTACATAACTTTTCCCTTAACCTTTTACCCCATGAGCATATTGCGAAAAATGGCTGTTTTCATTGAAAGCATCCTCATTCCTTTAACAAGTTCAAACTGCTATGAAACTATGAAAAATGCTTCAATACTGATGAAACTTGGCACAAATGTTGACTAGACCATAGCCTCTGAAACGGCAAGCTCAATCGTAAATTTCCTGTTACCATGGCGACGGGGGAACGTCTCAAAATTGCCAAAAATCACTATTTTGCATTGTTTTTTTTCCATCAAAACTGATTTCAAAGTGCTGCAATTTCTCAATGAATTGTGATAGAGTGAAAGGCTTTTCAGCGTCAGTTACTAGTTACCCTAAGATTGACTCGAGGCCATTTTTAGCCTGTCACATGTCTAAAAATTTCTTGGCGATGAGGGTGGACTACTGCCCCCTTCAAACCCCCCAAACAGAAGGGGGCACATCCCCCTTCTGGCAACTCCCTGATGTAACATTTTGATGGGGGGCAGCGCCGAAAAAGTGGTCACTTTTTTTAACAACATTTCTCAAACGAAAAAAAAACGGTGTTTGGGGCCAAAATAGGTCATTTTTTCACTGTTTGAGGCCTGAAAGGGGGGGGGGGGGCAAAAAGCAGTCAAAACACGCTTATATGAGGGAAAAGGTTAAATGAAAAATGGGTATGTCCACATTAAAAGATGGACAAGTCCATTTATGTTTAGTGTGGTAAAGGGTTAATATTGGCTTACTTATACCACTACTTGTGACAAGTATTGTCTATTGAATAATACTATTGACAAAAACTTCAATGCCTAGAGCATTTGGCGTTGCCTAGTAGAACTCAACAGAGGGTATGTGAATCATGGCTACATTGTAAACAAAGGACACTTACGTCCACACTTTATTTCCCTGTCACAGTGGCATATTTACATATCTAGATATCTCATAAAGGCCATGGTTTATGTAATAATTTATATATAAAGTGACTAATGTTTCTCATTTAAATATATTGCTAACCAGTTTCTATAAATCATAAATGCAATTTAACAATATCATTGTTACAATGTTGATTGACATTCTTTGTGTACATATGTGTGTATAAGTTAATTCGAAATCCCCTGATGGCTGAAAAAGTTAAGGACAGGACACAAAATATACCCTCCATCAGCCCTTTCATCTTCAGGTGTTACCTTGACTTCTGGGTGTTGTTCATGACACATTGTCTCATTTTGATGAACATATGTCCCAAGTTATTTCAAAATTCCATTGATGAATGACTGAGTTATGGACCAGACACAGTGTGCTTGAGGATGGACAGACAGACAGATGGAGCTCATTTATACATGTACCTTCAAAAAAGTGTGTGGAACAATAACTTAAAATTCTGACATCAGATTTTTTGATAAAAACAAAAAAATGAACTGAACATTTTTTCCCAAGGTTTTTATTTCATAAAAATATGACAGTCTAGCCCAAGAAAACCGTTTCAAAAACATATCAAATCCCCCATTATGATGCAAAAGTTTGATGATTAGCAAACTCTTCATGAGTTTCCCTACTTCAATGGAATTCAAGATGGCAGTGTAATTCTTGTATTGTCACCAAAATGATCATACAAACCTAAATTATTGCACAAACAACTACCATCTTTATAATTCCAGAGAATGGCAAGCCAATCAAAAAAGCCTTTGACCTGTGAACATTATTTCCTTATGACACATTGTCTTACAACTCATAGTCATGATTCCAGTATGTCTTTATAATTCACATTTTTTTATTACATGTACATGTATATAAGTCTGATCTGTATCACTGGACTTTAAGTTTAAAATTGTAAATGTGCAGTCAAAAAATCTTCATACAATTTTTTTTTACATCTCAAAGGCACTTTACCACCCTAATGATATTGATTGAACACTTCTGTCTGTAAGACTGTTTCATGCCAATATGACATGAAAAATATAAAATATATCCTCCATAATTATGTCCGATTAAAGTTTTATTCTGTTTTATCTTCTTCGTTTTGAAGGCGGGGCATCTGGTGTAGCAGGACTTGCTGTGGATGATGGAGTGTTGCGGGTTCGTTTACGTTTAGGTGAGTTATCTGGTGTGTTTAACACTGGTGTACCAGCAGAATGACGACTATCTGACTTGGAAGACTTTGATGATCCTACAATAAACAATAAAATAGTCAAGTAACAGAAAATATTTCAAAATGTTTACTTGTCAGGGCTTTAAATTCATGAATAAGAAAACAATGTTCAAATTCCCCCTCCTACAGAGACATGTACTATTCCCCCCAGAAACAATTTAACAGAGAGCCCAGGTTGTTGAAAAATAAACCTGTAGTGTTTATACAGGGTTCATACAGACATCCAATGCCAAAATTCAAGGACTTTTTAAGCACTATTTAAGCATGTAATTCCATTTTTAAGCGCATTGTTTGCACATATATCAACACAATATTCAACCTTAGAAGGAGTTTATTCACCATTTTTTCTTGTATTATACACATTTTCTTGCCAAATTTTAAGCTTTAATAAAATAACAAAGGGTGCATCAAATACAAATTAGTTCAAAAACAACTGCAATTTGTCCACTTACTTACTCTATTTATTTTGATACTTCATTGGATCATTTTTACTGTTAATTTTTATCGACGTTATGTCATTCAATCATTTTCAAGCATAATTTCAGCAAATTTCAGCACTTTTTAAGCACTTTTCAAGACAGTAATCAAATTCAAGGACTTTAAGCACTTTTTTACATTTTTAAGCACTTTTTAAGAAAGGGACTCAAAATCAAGCACTTTTTAAGACTGTACGAACCCGGTTATACTAATTAAACTTAAACCTGCTGAATTTCTGCAAAAGATCAGCCCATCTTCCATTTTTTCAACTGCCTTGCTTGGCTCTATATTGGTGTCAAAGGCTAACATTTGGTCCCAGTAACATAAGGGTTAATTCAATCTGTTATTATCATTATAAGTAATCGGGCATCATATTGTAACAATATGCGTTTTATGACCAGTCATACTAACAAAACAAAGATGATAAGACATTTTCAGTTGCACTGGTGGAGCAAGACTACAGGTGCCCTTCTGTGTATTGTTTAAGTCCCAAGAAAGAACATGGGTATGACCTTAAACAAGCCTTGAGTCTCTTAAGGCATAGCTCTCTCTTTCTTCTCTCTCTTGTTTTTCAGATTTTTTTTTTTTTTTTTTTTTTTTTTTTTTTTTTTTTGCTACTTTTATAAACTTGTTTTTAGTTACAGCAGGTATCAACCAGATAACGCACACTACTGGAATATAGTTTGAACAGTTTCAACAAACTAAAATCTAACAAGCAATAAAATGGTTAAGGTCTCTCTTCGAGTATATAGACCCACATTCAGACCTTACCTGAGTCACTACCTTTATCAGGTTTGTCCTGTTTATCAGCCTTTTCACTTTTATCCTGTTTTTCTGGTTTATCAGTTTTTTCAGGTTTAACATCAAGTTTATCAGTATCTTGTTTTGGATGTATTAAACGAGGAAATGATGTTTCTTTGACATCTGAAAAGTCTTTTTCTGGTAAACTGAAGTCTAATTCTTTGTTTGGAAATGGCAATATCTCGGACTCATTCTGAAAAACACAGAGGAAAATGAAATTATATAGTCAGGTAAAAATTACTTGAAATATATATTATACACATATGTATTACTGCATTCTATCCATTGATAATTCTTGTAAATTAAGTGAACTTTACTATTGTTTTAAACTAATATTAATTTGGTAAGTTACAAGTTCTTCTGTTTATAATTGATCATACATGTATAGATATTAATTTCATCTCTCTTAGACAGAAGAAGTGGTTTTGAAATACACGAAACTTAAGAGCATAAGGTAAATATATCTCTATAGATAATGAAAGAAATGTACACATTTTTCTTCAATGACTGAACCAGAATCATTTATTCAAATATATTTCAATAGTTTTTTCTCAATTAACTTTGCATATTACCAAGTTTAAGTGTTGGTTCTGATAAAGTTGAATAAGAAAATAGAAATTGTGAATGCTGTAAAAATAAGGGTATGTTTTTCTTTATGTATCTAAGTCAAAAGACCTTAAGTATGATGCCTGTAGTTTGAATATTCTCAAAATACCTATATTAAAAATATGTTTGTATACTTTTTTAGAGCAAATGGTGCATGCCCTTTAAAGTAAAAATCATAACTAAAATAGAAGATAAATATTTTGTTTCTGATTATTTTATTCTGTTTAAGTGTGATATTCATGTGTGTTAAATAACAGACACATTTTATCTTACAACTCTTTCAAAAATCTATCATGGGATATTGAAAAAAAAAACAACATTATTTTACTAATTAAAAATCTTATAAAATATTCTATAAGATATAGCTTTTTACACTTTAAGTGTACATATGCTATGCATCTGCAATAGTTGTATTCTACAAATATTGTTAGTAATCTAAATGAGTGAATCATCATAACCTGACTATTTTAAGTTTTCATATTAAATTATGACCAATAAACAAATTTAAACCAGATACAGTTGCAAACTTACAAAGGGTGATAACAAAAACATATATTCATATCAAGTAATAATTATATTATTGTAAAAGAAAATATTTATGTCTTACATGATTGCTTGTTCTTACCAAGGCATTTAAGTCGTATAATTCACCGAGATAATCCCATATTTGCCTAGCTGTAATCTTCTTGTTTGTACTTGAAAGTTTTTCATGAATGCTGACCATGTGGAAATGTCTGTTGACTCCTGAAATTAAAACATTACTTTATAAATTGGCAATGAAAGCTGAAGATTGTTTTGAGAGAAAAAAACTGCTAAACTAACTCATTCTGTATCTACAACTCATTATTTTATTAGTTGAAGGGAGATAACTCAAAAAATTAAGCAAGGTAGAATAATGGCTTTTTATACACTGCACTTTCTCATGCTAATCTATATTACTGTTAAGATAATTGAAGCAAAGTAGAATTATGGTCCTTTAACACTGCACATCCTCCTAGTTGGATTACACATTCTCCCATTTACCTCAAATGTGTAATGTTTGAATGAGAAATCATTGCTGCTTTGGAAGTTATAGTCCTGACAAGTATTTTTTTTAGGTATCATTAAGGGAGATAATGAAAAAAATTAAGCAACTTACAGTTATATATTGTTCCTCTAGCCACTTGAGTATTTAAATGTAAGCTAGATGAACAATAGGTAACTGTACTTTCTCTTTCATGTCATTCATTCTGTAAGGCTTTTATGAGGCTATTTTCATAAATGTGGCTAAAAAGAACAATAGAGAGAACAATAGAGTAGCTATGTACTGTCTTGTTAGAAAAGATGGACAAGGCAGTGACTACATGTATATGCTCTCCCTTTGAAGAGCATAAAAAATTTAAAATACATGTACACTAGTGGTTGCTGTATTCAGAATATCACATATTTTTTTGCATAAAGTATAACGGGTTGTACAGTTTGGTCGAACAAATTCAATACAGAATGCCAATTTACACATGACAGTGAGTAATTCAAGCACAAAATTCAACATGCATGCAAAAAAAATGAAGGCAAGGGGTAAATGTATGCATGCAAGCAAATTTAATTTGTCAGAATCACTGAATTTTAAATGAATGTTTGGGATAGTCTAAACTGCATATCTTATTACCTAAAAGCTGTTGCCGTCTACCTATCTACCTATTGTTAGAGTGATTGTTTAGTCCTAAGCTATTGTTATGTCAGCTACATTGCTAGATTACAGCAACAAGTGATAAGTCTGTGCCTGTGTTAGTGGGTAGTAATCTAAGTGAAACAGCTGTCAGTTCATTACGTGTAATATCATGAGTTTTTTTTTAATTTGTTCTTCTACTCTTTGAATAAATTAGTATACAAAACATGTTCCAACTACATTATATGTTCCAACTACAGTACAGTGTTTTCACCAGTTAAAATTGAGTAGACAGGCTGCATTAGGATTCAGCTTATTGAAAGCTTTCTTGACTAAATATAAGGGGACGAGATGACCATGGGACGAGTTGGCCAATAGACGAGATTTGTTTTGTCATCTGTGTTGCGACGATCCAGATATAAGCCAAATTGTATGTACAATTTATTGTTACGAAACGTATTGGTTACGAACTAGCGATAAACAAGCTTCTCGTAACTAGGAAGAAATTTAAACCATTCCTACTGAATTGATTTTTTTCTTATGTTTTGTTTCATTTCACATACCAACTGGTTTATGACCCCGGAGTGCATGAAATAAGTTCACTTCCATTTCACAATTCCAATTGAAGTTTTCTTCCGACATTTTCAAGCTTCTTTTGATATTAGTTTTTGAGCAGTTGATTTATATAAATCCAACGTGTAATATCTAGAGAAAAGTGGAAGTTTGAATAAAATGACAGGGCTATATTTTGATTGTTTCCCTGACAAAGTTAATAATTGAAATAGAACTACACAAATCTGCTGTAGAGTCGTATGTTATATGGGTGAAATATCAGCAAATGCGCTTTCATCTAGATAAATCTAATATATTACTAATTTGTTATGTCCTTAAATGCAATCAAAGCATAGAACATAATTGATGGAAATTTTATTAACATACTGTGTAACTGGTACGAGAAAATGTGAATAATTAATTTTGTATTCATGAAAAATATATTGTTCATGCTCTCTGTATAGGTCTGAGAACAAAACATCTGCTTTCCTAAGATAATTTAAAGCAGCGTTTTGGAGCGTCCCAAAATCTGGTGCGAAATGTCCCATGCATATCTGGTCCGAATTGTTGCAAAATTCCAGGTCCTTGAGATGAGTGCATGCATGCAATTGTTAAAAGGGTATGGTAGATTTTGTCGAATATGGTCAATACGGCATCCATGCTTCTCAACAATCACTATTTATATGTGCTGTAACAAATGAGTTTTGGAGGCCTAGCTGTGGAAAAAATGTACGTACAGACCCTTAGAATTAGGGATAAAATAATAAAAATATATGTATCGATACAATGAAAAAGACAATGTAATTAATGATTTTATAAATGGAAAGCTATATAACAGCCAACACGAAGGATTTTTTATAACCTTGTTATAAAATCCTGTATTATACATGAAAATATACATTCTCTACAATCCAACTGCCTGTTCTTCATGACTGCATTTGGTAATGGCTCTCATAGCTGCCACTGCCATGAAGACAACTTTTAAAATGATTGTCTTCGCTTTTTTGCTATTTAATATATTATTCTTTTGGTAGTAAACATTTTATTACTATTTCAGGGTTTTGAAATATCAAACAAGTGTCACATATCTGATTTCAACAGCGTAAACTCTTTGCAATGCGGTTGACATGTATGTGTATGTATTCCAGCTAGGCTTAATGAGTTTCCATCCGCCCTTTCAGGCGCTGAGAGTGTTACCGCGTGCTTTGTTCAATGATATAAAAAAAACGGACCTGGACATGTCACCGTTCATGTCCTTAAATGTTATTAGCAACCAAAAGGTGACCTGTAAATTTTGAATTCAGTAATTCGCTAAATGATACTAAATAATCATGTGTGCAAGTCGATTTTTATAATGATAATATTTTGATGCACGGGAGGCCAATGAGACCATCATATGCATCATGAAGAAAAATATGGTGTTGCTGCCAAAATACTAGTACATGGTCATATCTTGTAATGCGGTTGACTTGTAAACAAGAGCATTTAATTTTTTTTTAAATAAACAAAAAGAGAAAGCAACTGACCATATCTATAGGCGAGCCGATTTGGAACCCATGACGTTTATTGAAACACACTGTTTAGAGAACCACATGTCATGCAATCTTTATAGCCATGTGATTAACTGTCAACTAGATTTTACAACTTTTATTAAACTGGCGACGTCGTTTTCATACTCATTATTTATTACCAGGACTTTGTAGAGGACCACTAAATGGTGGTACTTGTCAAATATCAAAACAATAGGTCTTACACTTTTTGAGATATCACAAAAGGGCATAGTTCGCATAGATCTATTTCTACCATTTTAGAAGTCGCAACTTTGTAATGCATGATGGAATCAGGCCTCGTAACAAAAATAAACCAAGGCCTACTGATTAGATAAGTTCTGTGCAAATAAAGTGCATATCAGATATATTAACATTATCACGAAAAAGGCAGCAAGTACATATATACACTTGGTTTTCTAAAGAGGAACTTAAGATACTGTCCTCCCAAAGTGAAAGAAAAAGCTTTACATTAATTTGGTCAGACCTAAACTGGAATACGCTTCTCCAATATGGAATCCTTTACAAAAGACTCAAGTTAAACAGATAGAACAAATCCAAAGAAAAGCAGCGAGATGGGTATTGAATAGACCGTATAACCCACACAATCCTAATAGTGTAACTGAACTGATAAATAAATTACAATGGCCCAGTCTTCAACAACGTAGAGTATGGGCAGATGTGACTCTCATGTACAAAGTAGTAAACTTTTTAATAGCCGTGCCAGTGATTTACCATCCCACTATTGCCACCGTTCGTTCAACCCGGGGAAGTCACCGTATGAAATTCATTCCAATTCAATCTAGAATCAACGTTTATCAACACTCATTTTTTCCAAGGACTGTTAATACCTGGAATATTATACCGGATTCTTGTGTTACTACTGAGAGCCTGGAGGCGTTTTAATCTTCCATCCAGCTCGTTCAAGTCGTACCATCATATGTATTAATGGACACCATGCACCTTGTAAAGTATAAATACATGTTGGCCACCAGACCTTTTAGGGTGTAGTGTGGAACATCAGTTTGTCATGGGACAGTTGTGATACAATTGTGTAATATAGTTTTAAAAATTTATGTCGGAACACGCCACTCTACACCGATGTACAGTTTTCATACCCCTCGACGTCGATGTCTCCCTGGTGGATTTTATTGAGTAACCCCGTTGAGATAAAGAATAACCAAAGATGTATATTTGATCCTTAAGGAGCCAGGTAATTACAACTCCGTAATGCATAAATGGATCAGGTCACTTGGAAAAAAAACTAACGAAGATCTACTTGTGGTATATAGTCTGTCCAAGTTTAATTCGGATTAAATGAAAATAAAAACTACTTTCATGCAGGCAAGGCAAAGTTATTACTAAGCCCTACATTGACCAGCATGACATTATATTTCCAGGCATATATGTTTACCTTAAGAGATCATCGGTGAGATTGACGACCTGGCTTACGGCCGTTTTGAAGGCGACTTTTGTGTTTAATAGTTAATCAAAACAATAACGCAGATAAAACTTTATTCATTTGTTAACCGCCATACCTTAAGACATTTGCCAAACTAGCTACTATCTCATATACATTTGCATGCATTTGTTTATCTGTGTTACATTCATGTAAAAGGAGTGTGTACATGTTTAACCATTAATGGCATACGTTTGTAGATGGTTAAAAACTGAGGATGATGATGATGATGATGAATCAGACTGGTTTATTTATACTTAAATTAGTTTATTTTACAAAGAAAGGACTAATTTATTTGGATAAAAACTGGACCCTCCATTCAGCAGCCACCTGTCTTAAGCAGCCAAAATGACTGCATCCCTTGGCTGGCTGCTTAAGACAGTTTTGACTGTAATTGAAAAAAGAAGCAAATAAAATATGATACAGATTTTTATGAGAAAAACCATGCAGTGTTTCCTCAGTGCAGCATTCACAAAACCGGCATTTTATCCTCTGATTTCAGTGTAACATGACACGAGTAGTTAAGCAAATGTCTCAAGTATGCCAAATAGCAAAAACAATGCTGCCTGTAATATATGCATTTTTGTATTAAAATTTAATATATCGACACAACTCAAAAAGGCCTCTATCCAGATCGTCATGCTTACAACCAAACATTTTAGATGAGAATATAATGACGAAGCAACCGTATCATTGCATTTGATTTACAGCCATTAACTAACCGTGGTGCACGTTTGGCTAGAATTGCACAATTTTGCGTTACTTTTGCACAACTCCTGCGTTATCTTCAAATCTTTGCGTTAATGGGTGCTAGTTAGTGTTAAATGTAATTTTAATAGACCAAGATGATGCATAATAATGGTCTCATATCAAAATGGTATCATCACAAAAGTCTACTAGCATACATATATATGCAGGCCTCGACATTAGCGGTGGTCCGTTGGTCCGAGACCACTTGGTTTTGGCAAGGACCACCTAATTTTAAAACCCACTGGTCCGTCGGACCACTTGAATTTTCTGGTTGATACAAGGCTTATTTGGGAGAATGGCGATTTGGTCAAAAACATGTTATATACTTTTGTTTAAAATCATTAATCTATGTCCGATGTACATGTATATGGTTCATTAATCTCTGATTAGTTACAGAAGTTCTTAAGTCATCAATAACTTTCATTTTAAGTCGCTAAAATTTTGTTTATGCAAGTTAAAAGAGTTAAGAATTTGTGATATAAATTTAGGTACAAAATTCATTCAAATGGTGCTAGTAATTATGCATTGTCTGATTACCTCGGCGGAACCATTAACATTTTATGTTATGTTACATATTAATCAACCGGGAGTATCCGATGATGGTGATTATATGATATTGGATAAACTTAAGTTTCAGATATTTGAATAACGGCAGCAAACGAAAGGAACTGGAAAAAATACATCTAGTAATTCTATGCTATTTATCTTTATTTTAACTGTTTAACGATAAGAGATCTGTTTCTTCTAGAGTTAAAATTATTTTAAAAGGTTAAAAATACCTAATGTCAAAAATGAATATCAAATAACAAGCAACAGGGAGGTAAAATTATGTATTATAAATATGTGAGAAAATATAAATATGTAAGAAAAATAAGATAAGTTATAGTAAATAATAACGTTGTCATTATTTTAATAATTTATATATTTCCTTGTTTTCAAAGACAAGAATAAGATAATTTATTAGTTCCATTAAAAATGTTAATCTATAAAAGATGCTATGTTATTTATAATCATGATTATAAGACATACCACGTATCAGCAATGGATATTTGAATAACAGTAAGAAAATAACAGACACAAATGGCTTCACTATATATTCCCTAACTTGAGTTGAGGGAGAAATCACATTGATATAAAAGATAACATAAATAAGAGCTCTGCTGTGTATTTTTGACTCAGATAAAAACAAACAAGAAACATGGCAATGCCATGAAACCAGGTTTTCAATTATCACCATTGTAGATAAATATGTTGTATTTGAAATACAAATACAAGCAACAAACAATGTAACTGTGTGCAATGTAAAACATGAATAATGTAGGAGGAATTGCCACTGAAGAAGTGTTCACTATAATATTATGTATAAGGAAAAAAACAAAGGGCCATAATTAGGTCAAAAACTATCCAATCACAA